AAACCCACGACCTCCGGCTTAGCAGTCAGGGTCACTAACCAATAAACCAACAGGTCAACAGGTTATTTCTATTACAGGAACTCACCACGATCTATTAATGACCGAATGAATGAATGCATCTACTACATTATCATTTTCATTTTTCAATAACTTTCCTAAAATTCTCGATTGAATGCAATATTTTCGCGACCTATTATGTAGGTGGGATTAAAAGTACATTCGGCAAAAGGTGGGTATTACCACTCCTATTCATCCTTTAAGTGTCGTAAGAGCCGACTAAGGGAACAAGCTAATTTAAAAACAAAGCTAATATAAGATTTGTGTCTACAATATTGTGTACGTGTTTAGAAATATATAAGTATGTTTATCGGCAGCCTGGTTCCCATAGAACATAAAATCAAACAATTTCAAACTAGGCAGAGCCTATACTATGGTCAGTGGCCGAGTGTGAGATGTGTAAAATTCCTTATCTGTGATCCTTATCTACACGCCTTATCCCTTTCTAGGAGTGGACAGAGACGTTAGAACGCTATTACGTACACGCCATACAATAGAAATAAGTTAAAACTAATTTCAAAACTGCGATTGCCATTACCATAGAATAAGCAATCAACATCGACTTGAAATAATTTATTACACTTTGAAACAGCCCCACTATCCTGGCCCACATAATTAATAGAACTCTGAAACCTGTTTGGGACTAAAACGTACACCCTTTTGATCTCGAGAAGGGCTCATTAACGCTACTTAAACATTATTATGGGCTATAATAATCACGCTCGGACCATATATTGTACGTATAATCTATGGTACAGACCGTATGTCGTAAGGACTCGTACATATTAGGCTGTTAGTTTTGTAACAAATTTATTGCTTATTTCTCAAACAAGGACCAGTTAATTGTTAAAAACGAATGTATAAATAAACGTTTTGATTATAAAATAACTGCACTATAATATATCAATCTTGTTGATTTAATATTGTTTTGATCTAATTAACCAACAAAATCAAATATTAAATAAATTAATTACATTGGGAGGTATCCAGTAACTTTAATGTTACAAATAAAATATAAAGCCAACTGTATTGATTAATTTATATACCAATATAGTGACATATAATGACAAATTACAATTCTAACACTATTGTAATGTACACTTTGCTACATATATTCAGTAAACAAAAGACGAAAGCGTCCGCATTTGTAAACAATGAGCCACAAACTATACGCCAAATGAGAATGCACCCTAACAAATGTGGAAAGTATAAGATTTATGAGAGAGTGATAATGCGTGTTTTACGGTACAGTCAGCGGTATAAGCAGGCTTTCATTAGCATGTCAAAATAAACTGAACAGGTGATATAGGGTTATTACTCAGTGGCTGTGTCACGAGGGATAGCTCTTACAGATAGAAAAACATCATAAATACTTACTTGTACTTGAAAGTATATTAAACTAACTTTTGCTTGCGGCTCCGCTCGCATATATATCGGTTATCTGTCAATCTACCGGTAAAAAGTAGCCTACGTCCTTCAAGAATCAAAGTATCTCCATGCCAAACTTTATTAAATACAGTTAAGCGGTTTATCCGTGAAAGCGTACCAGACAGACAGACAGACAGAGTTACTTTTATAATAGTAGTAGGGATTTAAATATACGTACATTGGCACAAATCAGAACAAGATAAAGTTTAGTAAAACAAAAAAAAAATACACGTTCTAACGAGTTTAGTTGTAAAAATTAACTTTAAGATAAGGACCACCTTCAATGCGTCTAAATTGCCTTTATTCCTTCACTTTCCACCTTTATTTTATAACTAGCTGGCTATCTCAGAAGGAATTAGTTTTCACCGTTTATGCGTTATTTTACATTGATGCTCTGTTCTTTTTGGCCGTAGCGTGATGTTAAAGCATATAACAGATTTGGTTACATATTTTTTTGTTAGTTATCTCTTTCACACTCACTCACTTAGGTTACACTCTTCGTTTCAAAGTAAATTATGTTTTATGTAGTAGAATTAACTTTTGTGACCAATATAAATCTGTCATTATATATTACTTAAATCTATGCAGGGGCACCTCAGTAGCAGCTTCTCTCTCTGGACCGCTTCCAACGAAGAGCGACTCGAATCGTCGATATCCGTAACATCTCCGATCGGCTGGATCCCTTAGCGTTACGTAGAGATGTGGCTTCACTCTGCATTCTCTATCACATATATCATGGAGAGTACTTCGAAGAATTGTTGTTAATACTGGCCGCAATATTGCGCCATCGTTCCACAAGGCAACATTTTCATACCCATCGCCTGGTTAGTTGGTGCTCCACCGGACCGTACGTATTCCGTATTTCCGGACCGATACGACCTTCAAACCTTCAAGAAAAGAACGTACTCTTTCCTAAAAGGCCGGCAACGCGTTTGTGACTCCTGAGTTGCAGACGTTCATGGCCGGCGATAGTCACTTTCCATCAGGTGACCCATCTGCTCGTCTGCCCCCTCTAACATAAAAAAATAAAAACAAAACAAAATATTAACAAAACAGGTCATGAAGGTTGTACCGTAAATAAAAAACAAATTCATCACCTCTTCCATTAAATAATCTAGCAGATTAATGTTTAAACGTATACCTAGGTGACCTGAAGCCAACTGGTTTGATCCTAGCCACCTTTAACTTACCTAATAAGCATTTTAGTTATAAATAAATATTGGCTATAACTGTAAACATGGAATTACTTCGTAATGTTGTTAAAGTAATGGTCAACATGATTCCTTTGGCTTCGGTTATTTGTAAGTTGTTTCTAATATTTTCTTAAAGAGAAACATTTTCAGAACCTTTAATACAAAAATAAATCATTTACAAACTTTTTTAATAATAGCAATACTGGAAAGTACTGAATTTAATATTGCTCAATAATCATTTTTTAAATAATCTTCATACACTTTTATGAGTTTAATATATGGACGGCGTAATTGTTATTGCCCTTCTAGTTTATATTATTATTTTCCTCAACCATTTTTTTCTTCTTTTCAAGTAAGAATTTTAAGTGTGTTTTAAAAAAAAAACGGAAGTTGTTCCTCTTAAAAAGTTTGCAAAGTCCCAATAACAAGTAATCAAAAATCAAACACCCGACTGCCAATAGACAATTTAAATGTAATGCACTAAAAATACCGAAACAGCACGAGGTCACACAAACATGGCCATTTTGCGCTCTCAAATACTTTTTAAACTAATTCATTATTTCTTAGTAAATTTAAATATGTATATATATAACTTATATTTATAGGGTTACTGGGTAAGTCGACCTAAATACCTTAAGAGATAGTAGCCATCATGATAGATTTCTCTATGAAATACCATATCCATAATCAAACCATTTTCAAATTTTTTGACTTTTAAGATTTTTCATAAAATTGCTTACTTTATACTTTTTTTGTGTAGTTGATAAATTGTTTTATAATTTCAATCACTGAAATTGTAGTTAGCTAAACAAACTTCGAAGTAGATGGTTAATAATAGCAAAAACAAAAAAAGAGTTATTTTTTCTTTGACGTATATTATAAAAAAAATCCATGACAGTTAAACTGCAAATTTGTTACAAAATATGTACGTATTCTTTGCTATCTAACAAGGTATAATAGGCTAGGAAAGTACCAGAATTCATAGAAAGAAACTTAGATAAAAGACCCTCCCAGTCTGTTAAGAGTTAGCGTAAAACACGGTAGTCCCTAGTTAAAAACTTGGCTTGTATTTTTGGACTGTTTCGTTTTTTATTCGTGACTAACTATTGCTAAGTAGACTTTGATATGTGCTTCTGATACTGTTGGTGTTGATGACGTATACGAACTAGGAATATGTTCATATTTCGAAGTCTTACAGTTTAAGTTATACAAGTTAATTAAATAAAACGAGAGATTCAATACGGTCGACATTTGAACGCCAGGCGATCGTAGATTATATTACACTTTGTTTATTACCTGCAATATTTTGCTACACATTTGTCGTAGGCGCTTAAGTATAGTACGTGTTTAAAATGAAACTCCTGTGATGTGGGATTAGTCCCATCCTATAAAGTTTATTTTTTAAAGACAACCCCCGTATTAGGAATATATCCTGTGTCGCAAAAAAATGGAGCCTTTCGCGGGGGACCTTACAAACTTAGATGAAACGGACACAAAGAACACCCAGACTCAGAACAACAATTTGTGGATCACACAAAGTGTCGTCCCATGTGAGGTTTGAACCTACAACACTCGGCGTAGTAGTAAGCGGCGTGGCGACCGCTTACACTAAGCCATCTCTGCAGTACCTTCATAAGAGACATCAGCCCTGCCTCATCTATTTATGACAAACTCAAATTGGTATAAGCTTTAACAAGAGGACTTTTCCTTTAACCATGAAATATGGAAATACGACAAGAAAACGCGGTCACTATCACGCTGTCATAGTAATTACATATCTCTGAATTGCCAGACAATTCCCAGACTCATAGGGGATGAGTCCCCTTACTAAGTTTCATCTTAATATCTTCTTCGAGTCTATATAAGCTTATTTCTATAAATACGAAATCTGACGCCTGTTGCATTTTACAGTTTTATACAAACTTAGTATTTATAATCAACAAGTATTTAGCTCGCGGCTCCGCCCGCTGGTTATCGCGGTAAAAGTAAACTATGTTACTCGCTGATAATATGAGTTTTCAATTGGTAAAAGAATTTTTAAAATCGGCTTAATTGTTTAGGCGTGCAAGCGTCACAAACAAACAAATAAGTATGGAAGTATGGAAAAAAATCGATGTTTTACATCTGCTAGACGTCTTTCGAAGGCTCCATTTTTTTATTAATGACTATAATACATTATTCAAAACAGATAGAGAAGTTAATACCACTTATAAATGGGAATACGATTACATAACCGATACCAAAACCACAACACATTAGTGCATGATTGATAACCCTTTATAAACCACTGCCCAATTACAAATTCATATAGAACAAGTCAAGATGGTGGCCAAACTAGTCCTTTTCTTCTTACTTACGGCTTCTGTATTAACAAACGGCAATTTTCGAGGCAATATCGCTTTTGGCGACACCTTCGGTTCTCACATCATCTACCAAGAAACTCACGAGAAGTACGCAATTCCTCTGGTGGTGAGAGATGAGACTATTATTGTGAAGACTATGGGCAATGAAGTCATCAAGGCGATAATGGTCAGCGACCTGAAGGGTGGTGGCAGAAGTTACCTGGTGGATGGAGGAATTGGGAGGAAAACTGTTACTATAAAACTTGAGAGTGAACGCGGTAGTGGTTATAAATTCCTGGTACAAGTATATGCTATTTAAATTTCTTTATTAAATACTTATATATTAACATTTCTGTTGTGTTTTAGTTCTTAACAATGAATCTTTGTAGATTCTCCATGTCAGTCTGTCTGTCCGTCCGGGTTTAGTTAGAGACTTCTTCCGAGAACCTCGGACAAGTTCCGACTTGGAGACTGTAGTACTAGAAAAGTGTACCTATTACCTCAGTACAAGACTTAGTAAAAGAAGTAGCAAAGATAAGTTTCAGCTGCGTTCATTTAAGTGTAAAGGGCGCTAAACTTATAACATGTACCTACTCTAAAAAGTCAACATTTTTTGCAAAAGTAATGAAAAAATTAGGAGGAAAAATCTAACATATTTGTTAGAAAATAGCAAGCATTTAAGCCTTATAATATATTGTTGTGGTATGAAAATATATTTTTGGTAGTAAGAGTGTAACTTACACAAACTGTTTGTCTCTTCTCGACACATCAGATTAATTATCGCAAGGACTCTCTCAATAGAAGGTGTAGCACGGAGGGCCGACTGCATGGATGGCGTAGTGGTTTAAGCTGTGGCCATGCCACGATCCACAAATTGTTGTTCTGAGCCTGGGCCGTCTTTGTGTCCTGACACAGGATATAATTTGTAATGCAGGAGTTGACTTTCACCATCATCATCAACAGCCCCTAATAGTCCACTGCTGGAGATAAGTCTCTCCTTACAGTGGAGGTTTTGGCCACTATACCACGCTGGCCAGTTCTAAAAAAGTTCACTTTAGGTTCGCTTTTAAAAAAGAGGTGGGCTTAGGATGTTTATAAACAATAGAAAAAGGAAATAGAAACCAAACAAAACACAGCAGACCCCATTATTGTTATAAGTTCCAACTGCTTCTTCTTGTTCTTTGTGTTTGAGCCAATGAAAGCTTGTCTCTTTATTTTTCCGTTGTTCTTACACTATAATTGGACAATTCATATCATTACCTATAACTAAATTGAGAAAGCACTCATTAATATTAAATCGTGATCAAACATTTGCACTGCTCTGAACATCGTCCACTCCATACGTCAGGTATCCAAAGCCATTTAGTTAATTAACTCACTTACACTGTACCTAAACCGGTTAAGATAAGGCATAAAATCGAAAATATTATTGATGCCATTTAGTTGATTGTTTAATTACCTCTCAAACTTCCAATTTATGTACTCACTGGGTAATATTATACAATGATTTTACGTCTAGAAAATAAAAGTGACAAAAGTGAATGGGCAGGCCGACGAGAGCGTCCTTAAGAATTATATACCTAAAAAATTAAACTAATAATACTTCCGTGTGATGATGGATTAAGAATACAGAGTGTCACCACCCATATTCAAACCGTGGGTGTCGTAAGAGTCGACTAAGGGAGCAAACTATGCAGGACAATAGTACTGAAAAAAAGAAGGAAAACTATACCAACCCGTAGGATGAGCCTATGCGCTGTGGTTAGATAATGTTGATATTGGTATAAATTATGTTAAGTTTGCGTTAATACTTCTTTGGGGGCACTATCCTTCAGCAAAGTTTGTTTTTATGATGCGTAAGGTTCTGTTACCTAACTGTGACATGTGTGGCAAAATTGAAGATGTGCAGCATTTGCAGATGGATTGTGTCAGGAACATGGATGAAAGAGAATGATTGATAAGACAATTTAAATTGAATATTTTGGATGTTGGGCTTGTTCAAAGTATTTTGGTGAACCCAAAGACGGAAATTGCAATACGGTTGTGTGCTTTAGTGAAAGTCTGCCACAACAATCATCAATAATTCCTCTTTTATTTAGCAAATATTAAGATATGTTGTGTTGTATATGATAGGGTACGATAGGGTTGGTGTTTCCTTGTGGATAAAAACCCCTTATTAAAAAAAAACGTGTGGCACTCGGGAACTGTCGCGGTAAAGCTATTGCATAGCATTTTTTATCAACTAATGCTATTATAATTTTTTATTTATGCAGTATTTTTTTTTCTTTGATATTAATTCAAGTTTTTACTATTCCACGCGAACGAAGTCGCGGGTACCAGCTAGTATTAAATAATTATCTCAGGAAAAGACTATAGAATTTTGCCCCGCTAGGGAATCGAACCCACTAAGGCAGCGTTTTCAAATTCCACGCAAATAAAGTCGCGGGTATCAGCTAAAAATCTGTAGGGACCAGATTGTTCGTCTCCTTTTCCCGGTTCAGACGAACCCAAACATGGGGGGTCCAAGTGCTCCAGGAACTGAGAAAATCAAAGGGGGGATAAATGAAAAAAGTTGAGGGGTGAGGGGGGAGGTATTTTGTGGGGTCCTCAATGTAATCATAAAAAAATAAGTCATCCCTCGAAAATACCCCCCCTTTCGCCCCTCTTTAGAAGAACAGACTGAAGTGTTGTTACATGTTACGATGCTTTTCAAAAAGAATATCTGTAGGGGCCAGATTGTTCCTCTCCTTTTCCCGGTTCAGACGAACCCAAACATAAGGGGTCCAAGTGCACCAGGAACCGAGAAAATCGAATGGGGGATAAATGAAAAAAGTTGAGGGGAGAGGGGGGAGGTATTTCGTGGGGACCTCTATGCAATCATAAAAAAATATGTCATCCCTCGAAAATACCCCCCCCCCCCCCCTCGCCCCTCTTCTCTTTAGAAGAACAGACTGAAGTGTTGTTACATGTTAGGGACCAGATTGTTGATTCGAGTGGTTAGTGCCCCTGACTGTCTGGTCTGTCTGGTCACCATAGCACAGGCTCTGCCTAGTTTGGGATCAGACAGCCGTGTGTGAAATGTGTGAGGTATATTATTATTATTAAATATATATTTTTTGGTGGGGGGGGGGGGGGGGGTATTGTATGTGGATGTTATTTATGTTATTTTATGTTATATTACATTAATAAAAGTTCTGCTATTCATCGATAGATGGCAAAACTAAAAAGTATCACCGCTGTGCCGGTCGGAGTGGGGGGTGTTAGGTTATTTTCGTTACGGAATTTCTGGATATGCAATAGCTATGCAATAGCTTAAAATAAGATTCAAGACCTATGCGACTCCATCAAGCTCCCTTCATAAGTCTGGGGTCAACTGTTTTAAACTCATTAAAAATTAAATCTTGAAGGTGTTCTTATGTGAATGATTGTTTTGTAAATGCATCAATCTCTGGAAGTAATAACTTAAAACTGGAACTATTTTTGTTTACCAATACCAAAACTATATGTATTGCTTAAAATAGGACTGTGGTATTAAGATATTATGTTAGATAACGCTAAAATCCTTAGGGAACAGCTATAATTAATTACAACTGTGTAATATCAGTATCAATTTCATATAAGGTTTTGTTCTCCGTGTTGCACATTTCTTGTAAACTTAGTCGAGTTTCATAAGGGACTGTCAATATAGTAAAAGATTGATATTGGTGTAAATAGAAGTTTTGTGGCTGCATTTACTGTAAACAATATTGCAACAGTGAGAGTCATACTGCGTCACAATTTATAAATATTTGTGACTCAAAATTTAATGGACCATCAATAATATAATCTATTATAATCAAATTCTTAGAAACTAATATTCATCATCTACACAACATCTATAAATGAACAAAACAATTGCTAAATTAGCATACATAGTACCATAAATCTCGTACTATATTTAGAGTGACGTAATTTCCTAATAATAAAATAAACTTAATACATTTATGTATTTACTCATTGGCACATTAATGCCAATAGATGTACTAAGGAGCCATGAGATCATAGAAGGTATATTACAAACCCCGATGGTATATAAACAGCCACAGTGTACAAATAGTTCATTACTTTGGACGAAACCAAAATGAATAGTAAACTTCTTGTAACAGTGTGGGCTCTTTGCTTGAGTCTCACGAACGCCAATGATATTAGAATAGGAGTTACCTCTGGAAGACCCATAAAAATCTATAGTGAAATTAAAGAAGCAAATCCAGCAATTTGGACCAGATCTGAAGATGTAGTGGTTAATTCCACGGGTAATGAAATAATTGAAGCAATATATGTGACTGATTTGCGAGAAGACAAGGACGGGAAAGCGATTATTGAAAATGGAGGAGTCGGTACGAGGAGTGTGACGATCAGATTGGAAAGTCCGAGTATTTTTAGAGGTTATAAGTTTATGATCGAAGTTTATGCTACTGATCCAAATGAAAGATACCGCAGTAAAGGTTACTCTCAACAGTACTACGGCGATACGCAGTTTGCAAGAAAGTTTTAAGTGAATATTTGTGAAGATTGTATACGGTTTAAATAAAGTGTCTCTTGTTTATTTTTGATACTATGGTGTTTTTTTTTTTATAGAATTAAGTGTTAGGCAATTAATTCAATTCAATTCAATTCAATTCTTTATTAATAAAATATAAGCATCACAGTATACACCAAATACACTAAACCGGTGTTAGGCATTCTTTGCTTTGTTCACAATTTCTTAAGTGAGGCTACCGAAGCAGAACTTCCACCTTCAAAGTTTATGGAGAGGAGGTGGAACTTACAGCGGCTACGCCCTTGTGACTCTTGAGTATAAGGTATCCATGGGGTAGTCACTTACCATCAGGTGCCCCACCTGCTTCTTTGCCATTAAGTATTTACGCCATAAAATAAAAAGAAAAAATACCACAAGTCAAGGTCTTTACAATGTACACATTAAGCAAACCCTAAATTAAATTTGGAAAAGGTATTTGAACTGCAAAGAGGTGGAATACTTGATACAAATCCTTTTTTTTTTTTTTTTTTTTAACGTGTGGAAATCCCCTCGGACCGTCACCCCTCCGGGGTTTGCGGCGGGGTGGTGTGTCGGACTCGGACCGACTAAAACCACACGGTGTGCCACTCTGCGCCTGTAACAGGAGGGATCCGGGAACAGCTGCTGTTAAGACATCCGGACCCCTCCTAGCGCCAGCCCGCTCCTGGTGCGGGCTCCGTCTCAATGTGGATGTTCCTCTCTTTAGGCGACGTCCGGCACACGCGGACGCCGCCCCCTCGCGGCTGGCCAACTAATGCGGGTGGAGGGGAAACCCACCCCGTCCACCCGCGGCCACACTCAGGGCGGCATGAGGCTGTGATAGCCGGGCCTCCGCCGCCCGGTTCGCCGGCGGCGGATCGGGTCCGAGTGGAGGTCGTCCTCCCGGGCCCTCTCCGCCGCCTCCTTCCGCGAGATTACTACCTCGCAGAAGGTAGCGACCGCGGTAAAACAACTGTCGCTACCGGCCATGGAGCGTACTACGGCCGGTAGCGAGAGATCCACTCCGATGACTGCAGTGAGGGCCCGACGCTGCGCCGCCCATGCGGGGCAGACCGCCAGCGTGTGCTGGGCCGAGTCCTCACTGCAGTCGCAGTGGTGGCAGGCGGGACTCAGTTCCCTCCTTGCGACCGTGTGCAGGTACTTTCCGAAGCAACCGTGCCCGGAAAGCACCTGCGTCAGCCGGAAGGAAAGGGTCCCGTGCTGCCGCCCTGCCCACTCGGCGATGACCGGCTGGAGAGCCTCCACGGCGGCGAAGCCAGCGCGTGGAGTCTCCAGCCGGAACGACCAACGAGCCATCGTGGCTCGGCGAGCGGCTTCGCGCCACTCGCGCACATCCTCGGGCGGAGGGCGAAATCCGCTCTCCGCCCGGAAGTCAGCCACTCGCCGATAAACTTCGGCGAGCACTTCCGCCTCCAAATCCCACGGGGGAGTTCCGGCCAATGCGCATGCCACCTCCGTCGAAACGGTGCGGTAACCGCGTATGGCTCTGACCGCCATTACCCTCTGAGGGCGCCAGAGGCGTACCCTATTCTGGGCGGTCAGAGCCGCCGCCCACACCGGTGCACCGTACAGTGCCATTGACCGGACAACCCCCGTGTACAGCCGTCTTGTCGCGACGCTGGGTCCACCCATATTGGGCAGAAGTCGCCCTAGGGCAGACGCAGCGCCGACCAGCTTTGGAGCAAGCTGTCGGAAGTGCTCGTCGAAGAGCCACCTCCCGTCGAGGATCAGGCCCAGATATTTCATCTGGGCCCGAACCGGTACGAGGACCGAGTTGACCACGATTGAGGCGCCAGGGGGTGGACCACGACGGGGCCCATGGAATAACAGGGCCTCCGTCTTATCTAGGGCCACCCGTAAGCCCAGCGCCTCAATGCGCCCGACCACCAGGGAGACTCCCCCTGTGGCCAGGCGCGCCGCCTCTTGGAAGTTTGCCCCCCGGGCTATCACGAGGGTATCGTCTGCGTAACAGATTACACCCAGCCCGGGGGGGAAATCGGCGCGAAGGGCCCAGTCGTACCCTATGTTCCACAAGAGGGGTCCAAGAACAGACCCCTGTGGAACACCGCACGACATGGGCCGACACCTCAGATTACCTTCTCGGTCCTCGTACACGACGGTACGCTCCTCTAAATAGTCTGCCACCAGCCGCCTCAGGTACTTTGGCACCCCATGATAGTGGAGTGCTTCCCTGATGCAGCTGAATGGCAGACTATTGAATGCGTTGGCGATGTCTAATGACACCGCCAACAGCACGCCGCCACAGCTCACGGCCTCTTCGGTCACGGCCCTCAGGCGCAACACGGCGTCGACCGTCGAACGCCCCGCCCAAATCCTATACTAACCTGTCTGGCCATCGTGGTACAGTAGGCCAAAACCTCCTTTCTAAGGAGCGGCCTATGTCCAGCTGTGGACTACTAAAGGCTGTTGATGGTGGTATGAACTTGACTTCCACGCTTGCACAAAGTTAGTTTGCCCCTATACCTGTTCAAATTCAAGTATAGTATACACTATAGGTAGATTATTAAAAGTTAATATGTACCATTTTGAAAGCATACGAAAATGCCAATGTCATTCGGAAAAGTTATGATCAAGAACGATGGTGATAAAACGTGACTCATCACCTCCCAATTATAAATCACATCACATTGTTGCTATCAATCAAGTTGTTTATATTAATTAGCTAATATTATGTGAACACTTTGTTATCAAAACAAAAGTCTACATAATGCGCTTTGTGATGTTATAATCCAGCTATTTAAAAAAAATACAGTCGAAATGAGAACCTGCCCTATCTGTTTTAGAATTCGGTTAAAAAGAACTGAAAACAGGAATAATTTTAAATATATTTATGTTATTTACAATTTCTATATCTGCCCAATCTGTCTAGTTTCAAAATAATATTATGTTTAAGTGGATCTCTTTTACTTATTGCACTCTCTATAAATAGATATTTAAATATTCATTCACTAAGCCCCTTTTGTAAAACTAAACTAAGCGAAAATATTATTATTATTCTAATCCAGGGTCTAGAGCGAGTCCCATACACGAAACAAATTACAAATAAAACACATACAGCATAAATATTCACATATTTATAAAGATGTCATGTATGACCCGTGCTCCTAAACCTAACATGTTTTTTTAAAATAACCACAGCAGCTCTTGCATCGGAAAACTTAACATATTACCGTTTTTTCTTTAAAAAGGTGTCATTACATGTCTTTGAGACATATGTACATACTCGTATATATAACACAAGTAATAAAAATATTTTACTATTTGTTAATACTAGCTTTATTACTATCTCCGCCCGCGTCTATCTCGGTTATCACCGTAAAAAGTAGTCTATGTTACTCGCTGATAATGCAGCTTTCCATTGGTGGAAGAATTCTAAAATCGGTTAAGTGGCGTGATAGCGTGACAAACAAACTCACTTTCACATTTAAAATATAAGTATGGATTATTTAACCTGCTACACAAAACCATACTGAGGTCGTGACATGATGTCCTCATTCTCCGTTTTACATAATTCTTATTGTAATTGTGACTCATTGGTTCATTCAATGATAAATAACCTGGCTTATTCCAGCTCCAGCTTACATTTCCAAGTCCATCTGTCCAAGCAATATGCCTTTCAAAACATCGTCTTTCCTTCTTGTCTCTCTTTTCATCACTTTACACCCAACTAATCCGTAAGGTGCCCGGTTGACGGTAACGGTCTTGCGTCTTGTCTACCTATTACGCAAACGGGACTACAATCAACACCATCATCAGCATCCTTTAATAGTTCACTGCTTGACCTAGGCTTCTCCTTAGAAATGAGGTTTTGGCCTACTATACCACGCTAGCCAGAAGGGTTGGTATAGGGTGTGTGTCAAGTTTTCCTTCTCTTTGCAGTGCTGTTGTCCTGCGTAGTTTCCTCCCTTAGTCTTACGACACCCAAAAGGATAAGTAAGGGTGGTGACACTACGTCCGTCACCACACGGACTGGGAATACAATAGTAATCGGCAAATGTGGGCGTTTAATATGAATTTGTCTACCCATGTATGTTAAAAATGTTAATATGTTACTTTTTCATTATAACTTATTTAATTGTAGTATATCTTATAATCCAATTCGAGATGTAACGCGTCGCTGCAAAATATTAAATGTTGTCATCGACCGAATAAAACACTATTTGTGTAGTGCTGAATGATTCACGACACATGTATCAATAAGTCTCAAGTAAACAGAGTACGTTTTATTATTTTGAATTTACAATAGGAAGAACGTAATAACATATGTTAAACATATACGAGTACATACAAAAAGTATTACAAATACAAGGTGAAATGGGTTAATTTTAATCGTAGCATATTAAAAAAAGGAGAACATAATACAAAAACAGCACAACGTACAAATATAATATTCATATCAACATCAGTACCTTGACTGTGGAGGAGGCATCCGTTCTATGATTGGAGAAATCACGAGGAATAGGGATCAACTGGTAAAATTACAAATTGCAAAAAACAGGTATATTAATAACATATCAATTTATAGAATCGTTTTTTTTTTTAAAGGATGGGCTTATTTTACTGTATGTATAAAGAAAAAAACATAGGTTAACTTAAGTTAGTCAAAATTATATTCTATCGGTTCATCAAGTATATTAATTACATAACAATTAATATAATTGTTTTTTTTTTTAAATGGTGGGGTTATTTTACTGTATGTATAAATAAAAAAAACATAGGTTAACTTAAGTAAGTCAAATTCATAAAAAAACAATCAAACTTTCAGCCGTCACTCAAAGGGATAAACTTTAAAACATTCTTAATCAACCGTAGAGTTGATAGAGAGAGTTGACTTTTTGTATATCAAACATTTGTTTGATATACTAAAAGTTCTGGGACTCGCTTTAATTTAGGTCCCTGCCTCTGTTGCTATCAGAAACTTGCTTAGTCCTAAAAGATTTACATACGGAGCGAAAAACCCAACTGCATTAAAAATACTAACTAACAAGTAGTAATAATACCAATTTGGCACATTTCAAACATGGAGATCAGACATCACAAGCTAGATAGATCCTGTCCTATAGTAACAGACTGCTGATAAACATACTTATATATTTCCAAATAAGTACATATTTATAGATAAACAACACCCAGACACAGAATCATTACGGTGCTCTTTACACAACATTTTTCTTGGGTGGGAACCAAACACACCGATTAATAGACCAACTAGCCCTAGACCAACAGGCCCGTCGTAAATAAATAGTAATTATGTTATTATATTCTATGGAAACCCACACCAAGAACCCAAGTCTTACAATTTCTTAAAATCACAAGAAAATCTTTACCATTGGCCAGTAGTCGGGTAAATTTGAAACTTTTGCAGAATTAGGCAATTATTGTTTTTAAAATATTTTTTCTAGGAAATTCCTTTATGTTTGTAATTGTAAACAAGGTAATTGTTTACATTTCATCGGTATGACACTGAGTAAATTCGCGTCATGTGTCATGTACGTCATGATGGATACTTTTAGTCAATAGAGTCATGATGGATACTTCTTACAATGAACATATCTTCTGTTTATTCACTCACGACGGCGTTATAAGAGAATAAGCCAAGAATTTTTCGCTTTTCGCCACGTGGCACTTAGATAACACAGTTTATTTTTGTTCTGTTTGAGATTGATAATGAGGCTTATATTTCAATTTGTGAATGTCATAAACGAAAACATATATTAATGTCTGAACTATAAATCTGAAACAAATTCGCTTGTAGATTAAATTTTGTATGTAAATTTGTTAAGTTTAATTTTGACTCAGCTACTTCCTTCTTAATTTTATTTTTTACCTGTTTCACTTCCACATAAAACCGTCAATGTCTATATAAAATGTGGCGTAACAATTAACACCTCAGTGCTAAACGAACGACAAAATGCGAACATTAAGTCTTGCCGTATTATTGTGCCTCGCGGTCTCTTGCTACTGTCAAAGCCATCATTTGACGTTGGGGCAAGCGAACTACGGAGATGTAATTGTGTACAAAGTCGATGAACAAAAATACGGCTTTCCGTTTATCGTGAGAACCAGTATCATCGAATTCCCGGAACCTGGTATCACAAATTACGCCTACATTAAAGCTATCTATGTTAAAGATAATACCATTTACGGGTGTGGAGGTTACCCCTCTATTTCTGCAGGCGGTATTGGACAAAGATTCGTCAAGATCAAGTTGAAGAGCCAGCGAGGATGCGGTTTGAACTTTACTGTGACGATTTACGGCAGATATATGTAAGGGATATTGTATATGCATCAAACGATTACTTTAATACGCCAAGATAGATATGATTAAAAAAAAAACAGTCAATGCAATTGACAGAGTAAGTGGCTCGTCAAATTGTGGTAAAATTTTGAAAATATGTTAGAGTCAAAAAGAAGAGGAAGAAGAAATGGCATTATCTAGGAGCATTATGGCATAAATGCAAGTGATTACCTCTTTTTGGGACCCTGTAAAATCAAGTTTGTTTAGGAAGTTTTCCAACCAGTTCTCAGATACGGAGCAAGAATAGCAGAATATCAACGCCAAGATGTAATTTGATGTATCCATGTAACGAATATCTGCAGAAACATTGACAAGCTAAGCATTAAGACCGTCTGACCAGCGTGATATAGTAGGCCAAAACTTCCTTTCTAAGGAGAGGCCCATGTCTAGTAGTACACTAAAGGCTGTTGATGAGCTACCAAAGACAAGCTATCAAATGTTCAGTAGAAGCCTGCTAAGATCGAAATAATTATGGATATTAAAAATCATGACTGTATAGGTAAAGAGATTTTTGCTCGCATTTTAGAATAGAAGAGTTATTCTTCTATGTGGAATTACAACACGTAATAAATTGAAAGATAATGTAAAGAATTATAATTGGACGTATCGTGAAAACAATGATCTCTACCAGAAAACGTTTGGACGAATTAGGATCATAGTAGTTCAGATTACAAGAAAATTATTACCACAATTTGCCAAAATGACAAAAGGCGTCATTATGATTATACAAAGTTTAACTATTTAAACAAAAATATGTTAATTTTTGAACAGTATTATTACATTCTATTTTTGTGTATAATTGAGTACAATATTTAAGTTTATATCACAGTCGTGTGATATTAAATGCTATAAGAAATACTTTGTACATATTTTTGTTATGTTATTAAAGTTTATTTAATTAATAATTGTTTATTCTGGTTTATTTAAGGCAACCATTCGTTTCGAGCAGCATAATTTATCTGCATGTTCAGCTTCTCTTGCTGGGATAGAGTCTTTTATTAAATTTTTTTTTGGAGCTTTAGAATAAGTGGTCTCAGTAGTTAGCAGTAATTACTAGCTTCTTCTATTAAATATTTGAGCAAATCGTGTATAACGACACCATTCAACCACACCACTGGGGTGTCGTTTAAATTATTTTTTTTGGTAACGTCAGCACCGTATGGAAGTTCTAACAAACTTATGCATTTATTGATATCAATTATTTTTCATTCATGACACTTCATTCATGAACATGACATGACACATAAAGTGTCGTTCCAAGTGGGGATCGAACTCACAACACTCAGCGTAGTAGTAAGCAGCGTGGCGACCGCTTAAACCACTACGTAATCAGTGCAGTCATAGCTTGGACAATTCTATTAAATGATTATGTTTCATAAAGTAGTCGGTTACATCATGACATGGCCTGGCGAGGCCAATAAATAATATAATCGGCGTTTGGCGATATGGACAGCAATGGCGACTTCATGATATCAACCATCAGAACAATACCTATGAGACATTGATCATTGTATGTTCCTGAACAACGCAAAGTCATAAAATCAAACAACATTATTAATTTCAACTAGATTTTACCCGCGGCTCTGCTCTGCTCCGTTATCGCGGTAAAAAGTAATATGTCCTTCCTCAAGATCAAGCTATCTCCATACCAAATGTTATCTAAATCGGTTCAGCGGTTATTGATTTCCCAAACAAACTTCCAACCCCCTTTTCACCCCCTTTAAGGTCGATTTCTGCGATATAAACTAATGTCCTTTCTCGGGCCTTGAACTATCTCTATACCATATTTAAACAGACATACAGATAGACATACTTTCACATTATAATATGAGGATTATTATATTTTCTAATTGCCAGGACTAGGAGTTAATGGGTAAGTGAGTCATGAAGCTAATTGCCTGATGTAATACGTAGAAGAAAAATGAAAGAAGACTTGGCTACTACATGAACACTCTTTCTGAAATTATTTTTAACTTTTATATAGGCTGCGCCTGCGTATATAATAATAATAATAATAAAATTCTTTATTGCCACAAATTAGTATATACAGGTTAGACATTTCGAGATTATAGTCCAAACACAAATAACATTACATAGTGTTCTGCTGGTACTTAAAATAGGATAACCTGTGCTATAAGTACCAGTAACCTCTGCAGTATCACTAAAATACATTTTTAGCTGGTTATAAAACAATATGTTATTATGTGCGTGTGTATGTGTATGTGCACGTGTTGCGTGTGTATGTGTATGCGTGTGTTGGGTTCCGTGATCCGTTTCCTGTTGATCTCGGTGTCAGTGTGTGGGTTTTTGTTATATTTGTATTTTGATTTCGTTTTAATTCATAATATCGGATGAAGAAGTTCTTCCGTTTCATCATAGCTTAGTTTTAGCAGCCAGTCTGTTACAATCCTTTTGCATTCATATTTATTTTTACAGTCAATTTTTAAAACTTTGTTGACTTTTATGTAAGTGAATCGTCCGAGAAAGCCAAAGAATCTATGACTAAAAGATGTCCTGTGCCTGTCAGCTGGTGGAAGTTTAAGCCTGCGTGAAGTTGGTCGCGGAGATGCAGAAAGATGATGAGATTTGAGATTTAACGAATGTTGCTTTAGTAATATTTGTAGAATGAAAAGTTGACGCACTGTTAGAACTTCGCAGTGCTCATACAGTTCTTTTGTAGGATAGCGGTATGGTTTGCATATGGTTTGTTTGGTATATGTCGGTTATCGCGATAAAAAGTAACCTATGTCCTTCCCCAAAAATCATACTAACTCCATACCGAATTTTATACAAACAGACAGACACTTTCGCATTTATAATATTAGTACAGATATGGATGGTATGGATTCAAGTCACAGTCTAAGTCAACCATATTATTATACCGTGGTAGATCCATGCTTTAGTACATACGACCCGGCTCGACAAGATTGATACCATCACCTTCTATCGTTGCTTTCCACCTCCCTCTGGAGGAGAGAGCAATCAAAAGGCAATAACGCACTTGTGAATCGTGAGGTCGTGGCCGGCGCGTACGAAGCATGACTTTCCCACGGTTTTTATATTTTCTTATTATTTTTTGTTACAACTTTATTGTCTGTTACTTGCGTTTATAACACAGCATTGCAGACTTGCCTTTAGTTTCTCACATACCTCAATCGCTATACCGATGCGCGACTCTCTCACAAATATTATTACTAGCATTTGCATGCGGCGCCTCACGCGAGTATGTCGGTTATCGCGGTAAAAAGCCTATTTCCTTTATCAAGAATTAAACTATGTCCATACCTTTCATCTGAATCAATTCAGCGGTTATTGATTTCCCAAAGTAAACTTCTGGTTATTGATTTCCCACACACACCCCGTCCGTGTGGTGACGGATTAAGAATACAAATTGTCACCACCCCAATTCATCCCGTGGGTGTCGTAAGAGTCGACTAAGGGAGCAAACTAAGCAGGACAACAGCACTGCAAAGAGAAGGAAAACTTGAAACAAACCCTATACCAACCCGTCTGGCCAGCGTGGTATAGTAAGCCAAAACCTTCTTTCTAAGGAGAGGCCTATGTCCAGCAGTGGACTAGTATAGGCTGTTGATGTGATGTGATGTGATTTCCCAAAGTATGATTTCCTGGATAAAAACTATCCTATGTCCTTTCCCGGGACTTACACTATCTCTATACCACTTTTCATCTAAATCGGTTTAGTGGCTTAAGCGTAAAGAGGTAACAGACAGACAGAGACATACAGACAGACACACTTTCGCATTTATAATATAAATATGAATTGTAATTATTCTCGTCGTAAATGATTCTTGTGCGTAGCGTAATTCAGAGATTCACAGAACATCTAACAATAATAATATTAATGATCCCACTGCGACCTTAATGATAAGATAATATTTGTGATGTACATTGAAAACATGTTAAATTATTTTATTGACAAAGTGAGTAAGACACGAATATTGCCTATGTTATTCAAAATTACAGTTCCACTGTTTTGTAATCTACTAAATAAACCTGCGTCATATGGTTTCCTCAAAGCCTTCGTATTTCTAATCATAAATACATAAATGTCTACATTAACTAGGTTAAATTAAATAGGGCTATGTAAGGAAATATTGGTTTTAAGGTCATGTTTTGTACTTTCAAGATTTGATAGGGCCTCTTATCTTGAGTTATGATAAAGACATCTGAAAGGAAACACAAAGGCAGTTGTCCTTACTTTGAGTAAAACGAAAAGTGAACTTTATGTCCACTGCTACAAAAACGCCAATTGGTATTACAGAATGTAATTACTCTTATTGGTTTAACTGTAAAATAATAACACTTCTACGTGTGTTCATTCTTCCTTCCTCACTTAATCTGTAAGTCTCTCGAATGCTCTTCCCCAGGAAATCAGAATGACACCCAGTCGTAATTCGTTCAAGGTGAAAGTACGAGCTCTCCTTGCCCAATATATAACCAGATTCACCATAAATATGATATTTTATATATTAGATTATATATGTATGTATATAAATATATATGTGTATGTATGTATACGTTGTTATTTATACTATTTCACTTGCTTTATCTCGATTTGCTTATATTTTCTTCTTATAATAGTTCTTTCTAAAAAAAAACCCTACGGTAGACTGGTAGAGAATGCCTATGGCATTAAGTCCGCCATTGTACATTTTGTGCATAAAGTTATCAAATAAATACTATATTTTTCAATTTATAATGTAATGTGCCATAGATATCCGGCATTTTATATCTCGAAAGATACTAATGTGATATTGTAGACAGATAAAATTTAGATTCGACACTTTTTTACACCAAACCTACATGAATTCGTCTATTTACAGGATATTTGTCTCTCCAAAGGTTGCCTATAAGAAATTGCTTTTTAGCGATATGGCCACCACCAGTACATGTTCATGAACTTGTTAAGAAATAGTGTACAATAAAGTTTATTCTATTCTAATATAGGATGTATCTATCTATCAATCGTATATGCTTCAAATGTAAATTCAACGAGAAATTAGTACAGTGCGTATCTACTTGAAAATAATACTACCTACATATTAGGTTAACAACCGCTAGGTTAGCATGTGCTGGCATATCATGAGCTTGAAATATTATATAAACAGTTGAATAGCTGATCATCACCTCTATAGCTGGAAACCATCCCGGTAGTACTGTCTTGAAAAAAAAAAAACAATCATCAAACATATTGTTTCACGGTCAATTGTGTTACATCAATAAATCGGGAAAATATAACTATGTTGGAAATGTAAGGAAATGTCAAGGCTTGAAAACAATTCTTTCAATGACAAAATCCAGGCTTTAGAAAGTACGTTCACATTCCAAAATATTCTTAATAAACGGTAATTATAAAAAAAAAACAATACTTCTACGAATTTGACCTTATTTAATGAGATCTGCCTTATCACTGTTTCTTAAACATGGGATGGTATTATGCTATGTTACAGAATAGTGCAAGAATAGCAGTAGTGTAGGTAGTATTTTGAAAGAATCGTTAATCCGAAAGATTGTTCTTAGCGCTGTAATGTAATGTGTAAGCACTGATAATACGATAATAATAATATCGACTTTGAAATAGTTTAAACTGTAAGCATAATGGCTAATCTATCAGTCTTTCGACCATATATTATAGTTGCTATGTCAAGCCTAACCCATTACTCTACCGATATAACCTTGAATCTGATAAAGAATGAACCATCACTGCTTAGGCAAAAGCATTCGACTTACAAAACGAATTCACCAAAAAACTCATGCCAACATCTCCTGGAGTACAATTTACAAGTACTTTAGTTGAGTTTAGTTGACCAAGCTGTTGGTCTAGTTGATACCGATTTTGACTGCTAATGAAGAGGTCGTGGATTCAATTCCCACCATTTATCTATGACTATCTCTGTGTGTAATGTATGTATTTAATGTAAAATCTGTTTATCATTAGTCATAGTTGTCATAGTACAAGTTCTGCCTGGTTAAAGTTCAGAGGGCCGTGTAGGATGTGATATTTATTTATTATATTTGTTTTTAGTACATTATTGTTAGTTAAAAGCCGAGAAAAACACACCACACAATTAAACACCAACCGCAAATTTTTGAAAGCAATCTGAAAGATGCAAAAATTAACTGTTTTAGTTCTGCATAACAACTTCCCAATGTATTTAAACATAGCGTCGTAAATAATATATCAGTGTCAAACGAACTATTATTATTGTTAATGTTACATATATGTGCTGTGAGTTAACCTAATAAATAAATAAATAAACTATAAAATGAAAATACTAGGCCTTCTTGTGTTCATCGGTCTTGGCGTATGCTGTTATACTCAAAGCCATGACTTAATGTTGGGGCAACCCAACTATGGAGATCTGCCCGTATATCGATTCGACCAGTGCAAATATGGATTTCCGTTGATAACAAGGTCAAGTATAATAGAATACCCAGGAGGTCAATTATCAAATATTCCCTACATTACAGCTATTTATGTCAAAGATAATTTAGAAGATGGTAGTGGTGGGTATGCTTCGCTTCTCGAAGGAGGTGTCGGACAAAGATTTGTTAAGATCAAATTGAAGAGTCAGCAAGGTGGTGGTTTCAATTTTACTGTTACCATTTATGGAAGATTTCTATAAAGAATTTTGAACCTATGGAATACTATGAAATGATTAGCTGTGAAATATTTGTTGTGAAAGTATAGGATAATGTTAGACAGACAATATAACAGAGAATTTGACCGTTGTGTTATTTTAGAGTGAGACGTAGATATTACGAGTGGATCAAGAACTGGAAGATGGACAAAATGGAAACAAATAAGAAGGTATACGGAAGGAGAGAAAGTAATAGAGGATGAACGATCTCCAGGCGACTATTCGTAGGAAACTATTAAAAAAAGGAAAAAGAGAGTTGACCTCATGGATTGACTTGAATTCGAGTTACACAAAAAAAATAAAGTGTTTTTAAGTGTTTTCTAAGTAGAGAAAAAAAGGAATTGATAGATTAAGAAAAAAAATCTTAACCAATTAAGTGAAGGATAATTTTAATAAATGATTGTGATATAAGTGAATTATTGTTATTGAAATAAACTACAAAACATGTTTGTATCTTTTGTAGATATCGTGACCTTCATTCCAAAGGTCGCGTAGATCTTGAGTCGCCTGATTGAACCATGATTTAATAAAAGACTAAGGAAAAATAAATAGGAATTTCACAGAATCTGTTTTCCTTTATAAATCACTCTATGATTTTGTCTTCAAGTAATTTTACACATTGTTAGTATTAAAGAGATAGAAAAGTAAAAAATAAATAACAGGAGCACTCTGGGAGTGCCGACAGAAGTCAAAACTTGTAAATAAAAAAAAAAGATCATAACAGGCAAAAAATTGTTTTTTCCGATTCAAAAAGGTTGGACATGAATATATATCTATGTTGGACGTATATACACAATATATGTTTACATTCTATATAGTTACATTATCAATGTATTTCAACCCATACTCAACTCTCGTATAAACGGGGCCAATATATGTAAATACTTATATACTGAGGTGTCGGTAACGGAAACAGTGTCGCGAGTGCAATGGTTTTTTTCCATCTCAAAAAATAGAATCTTTTGTTTGTTGTTTAAAAATGACCAACGCGCCTAAATAAGTTTTCACTTTAAAAAGACTATCAAATAATAATATATCGATATTGTTAATATCTTTAAAAATAGTACTTACTTCTATTATGAAGCTGAAGACTTTGTTTGGTTGAACGCTCTAATCTCAGAAATTACTGATTCTAATTGAAAAAATATTTTAATGTTGAATGAATGGATGAATGAAAATACTAGGCCTTCTTGTGTTTATCTGTCTTGGACTATGCTGTTATACTCAAAGCCATGACTTAGTGTTGGGGCAAGCCAGCTATGGAGATCTGCCCGTATATCGATTCGACCAGTGCAAATATGAATTTCCGTTGATAACAAGGTCGTCGTTCCGTTGATAACATTTATCGTGGAAGCCTATATGACATCACGTTATGACCAATAGGAGCATCAATACAAATGTTGCAAAAGTAGGGAAAAATTATTTCTTTTGAGAGAAGCAGACGGAATTGCGCGGGTCAGCTGTAATCGTATTTATGTAGAGTAGTAGTAGCAGTTATCTGTTTGACCTTTATTTGTGAGATACAAATGTGATAAATCAGTAATGAACTCAATATACTCGTATAATATTATCTGTAACACATTTGCTAATTAGTGTTTGAAATATAATATAATTAGATTTTAAAACTCCTAAAAGTGCATACTTTATTGATTTCAGGCTATTTTCTATAAACGAATATAACTATATACTATAAAACTATAACTATAAAAATGAATACAACATGAGCTTTCAAACTTTTACGTTTCATTATAGGACTCAACGCGTTCACAAAATAATGGATGCACTGGTCGTCTTCACAGGCTGTGCAACCTGGTCGGGAAATTCGAAGATCTATAATAATATATTACGTGATCGCCTCAATTTTCTTAACATAATTACATATTTTATGTGACTATTTAAAAACCATTTATTTATTTCGAAACTTAACAGCTATGTTCTATATCTCAAGGTTGAGGTTAAACATTGCAATAGACTCTTAGCCTATAATAAAGTTTTCCGACAAGTAAAATTGGGTGCACCACTTAAACATAGGTACTTATAAATATTCTATACTATTTATAATTTAGGTATATTGTGCACAGAGAGAGAGAGAAGTTTTCCAAAAGAATGTAACTTATAAACCAATCTTGATTTGAATTTACAAGTATAATTGCAACCGTTTAGTGATTTGTTTTTAAAGGCACTTTTTCAGAGGTGGAAGATGTCAATGTCGTTAAAATTTTCATTATAACAGCTCGGCAAGCGATTAAGAACAGCATTCTTACCATGTAGCCGCTTTTCTTCTCAGGCGGACTACTCACCGGCTGACCCAGTGGAGAGATCCAAGAGATTACCTCAGGGCGCCTTGTATGAGAATAGAAGTGTGTGCGTGTGGGAAACCTATGGGACTCTTTAGAGGAAAACAACTTACACCTCAGTTATACATACATGTATATTTCAAAAAAAAAAGTAGTTCAAATTTACAATGAGAAATTAAATAAATTAAACAGTGTGGGTACAAGAAAAAGAAAAAAAAACCGCAGCGGAGCGCGTTAGAGCCGAGCTGATGGTGCTCGGTGCCTCCTCGTCGTCCCTCCAGGAGGTTACTTCCTCTTCCGCCCGAGTCGGCTATTTATATTAGATATGGATAAAAGTTTAACAATTTGCAAATATAAGTTTAAGTACGTAACTCTTGGGTACGGCTGTCCGCTTGCGTCGTGAGCCACGCAATCACCAGCTTTGCCAGAGGGTACCAAGAAACTTGAGTCTGTACCAGAAGGCCACAAAAGAGCAAGCACGCCGTCTGAGACTGACCGTCTTGAGCCCGAAATCTGGGACCCTACGAATGGATTAGCACTCATATAATTAATCAGGTTCCAGAAACAAATAGGTTTAAGAAGAATTTAGAGAATACTTACCACTTTAGTGGGTAGATTTAAACAGACTACATATTACGAAATTCAAATTACACGACAATCAAAACACTATTTAAGGTTGGAAGACACGAGATAGCAGAGTGTCTCTCGTGGTAGAAAGCCGGACTTATATATCTTCGGTTAACGAAGCTTCCAGAAAATAACCCCTCTTCAACATTTTACTTTGACATTTAACATCAGTGAACACAGAAGATCAAAACTGTAGTTATAAACTACCTTAGATAAATCAACAACAATGCAACGCGACTAATAGATGTAGCTTTTAACAAGACCGTACGCATTATAAATGTACAAAAAAATAACTGTTACAACCATAATTAGTGCGGTGCAGGGGAACACTGAACAGCCGCGCATGTCAAGTACGAACTTTAGGCCGATACTGTCAGTTTCACCTTCGAATGGCGAATAAAAATATTTGATTTCTTTTTCTTTGATTATTTTTCTTTCTTTACGACTGCATTTTACAATTTCAGAGTCCGTGCAATCATCATCAGCCCTTAATAATTCGCTGCTGGACATAGGCCTTAGAAAGGAGGCTTTGGCCTACTATACCACGCTGGCCACACGGGTTGGTATAGGGTTTGTGTCAAGTTTTCCTTTTCTTTTCAGTGCTGTTATCCTGCATAGTTCGGTCCCTTAGTCGTCTCTTACGACACCCACGGGATGACTAGGGGTGGTGACACTTCTAATTTTTATCCGTCACCACACGGACAAAATCACGGACAAAAAGCGAATCAATTGACACTTGTAGGTTAGACTTGCTAGTGCGTTCGAGATTTAAGTTTGCTCTTATCTTGAAAGTTTGGAGTTCGTATCAATTATCGTTTATACAATTTCAAGTGTGATTGTAGACACAAGCACTTAAGCGATGAGCGTTGTTGGAAAATTATATTACAATGACTTTTAAACAATAGAAATCTGAGACTTTGTTCAAATAGTAGGTCAGCCACGATGGGAAAAAATCATTATAATAAGTATTTAATATAATCACATATTTTTCTGATCATGTCTATTGTTATGTAGGTGTCTTGTAGTTTATAGAGAAGAGAGCCAGCAATAAATTGTAAGAATATAATTGCTTCATTTTGTTAAAATTAGTTTTGGATTGTAAGTTTTTCAGGTACATTTTAAGTTATAATCTATATTACACTCTAGAACGTAATATAACACTTTATAAAAAAAAATACGAAAGTTTTTGCTTTCTTTGTGTAACTGTCCTTAGATCATAAGACTTATACAAACTGTTTTTATGATGCAAAAATTGGTTTCGGAGTATAGAAATAGAATACATCCAATTTTCTATGTATAATATAATATATAGTTTGAAACTAGATGGCGTTGTGTCTTAGATGTCCGAATTATTGTTATTATTATTATCTATCTATCTTAACGTGAAAAAAAGCGAAATTTGATAATCTGATTTTCGATTAGAACTATACATCGTTGAATAATTTAATTATTAATATTAAATATTCGGATCCAGAATAAATTTATTTGAATTTAGAAAAATAAATAGCGTTACAATTCATTAGCCTTTTTTCTTTTTTTTTTTTTTTCCGTGCAGAAATCCCCTTGCGGGCCGGGAGAGTTCTAAACCTCTCCCGGTCCCGCTCCGACGTCTCCTTCGCGAGCATAACTTGCTCGCAGAGTTCCACGCACTCTCGCTCCGCACGATAGCCGCAATCAGGCTATCGAGCGAGAGAACTCCCTCTCCGATGGCCGCCACGAGGTCTCGCCTCTGCTCAACCCACGCCGGGCACTCTGCCAGCATGTGGAGAGCCGTGTCCACGGTCTGGCCATCGCAGTGGTGGCACTCAGGCGTTGGCTCCTTGCGGATCAGACACAGGTGATCCCCGAAACATCCTTTCGCAGTGTTCACCTGCGTCATTCGGTATGAGAGGGTCCCGTGATGCCTCTCGAGCCAATCCTCCATAACGGGTCTTACCGCCGCGATAGCGCAACTACCCCTGCAGTTGGTGAGCCTGCTTCTTTTGGTGACGAGTTTCTAAATTAATATTTTTGTTTCTTCTATATTTCTTTATACCAAATGTACAGCTCATTAATTACGAGTATATTGACAAAATTAATTATAATTAACATATTAGCCAATAATATCAAAAAAGCCTCGAGCCAGTTACACAGAAAAAGAATGATTAGCTAGCGCATAACACTTACCTTTATAATGCATATATAACATACTGCTAATGTTTTACATTCCTTCAGTACTCCACTAACGACAGAATGTGGGCACTAAGTCTTAAAATAATGCTCTGCCTAGCAGTCTCTAGTGCACTGCAACTGAACCGAAAGCAATCAAGAAATCATAATATAATCATGGGGCAACCAAAACTAGAAGACTACCTTCTCTTCAAAATGGATATCTTTAAATTTGGGATTCCGTTGATTAAGAGGAAGAGTATCATCGAATACCCCGAGCCTGGTATCGCGCGGTACTACGTAATCATGGCAATTGCGGTTAGAGATACTATGCTTAACGACACTGGAGGTTATGCAAGTATCGCTGCAGGAGGAATCGGCCAGAGGTTTGTTAGGATTAGATTGTGGAGTCAAAAAGAGTCCAGTTTTGCCTTTTCAATAAAAGTCTATGGAAGGCATGTCGCGCGCTAAGATTAATCAACAATTATGTTTTGATAAAAGACATTTTTAAACTCAATTTCTACAGATTGTATATGGTTAAAAATTAAAAATGTATTGTTAATTCTTCGTCTAATCTTTTTGTAAATTTATTTAATGTATGTGTATACAAATGAATTGTAGGATATATTTTATACTATATAGTGGCAGAAAATGTCGTATACAGCCGCCAGAAAATATCTCTTTCAGACATTAACATATAAATCGTCTGTTATTGACGTAAACGCCTACAGGCCTGTTCAACTATTACGTTAACAAAATTTAAGTAAAAGTAAGCAATGCATATGCATGCATTGTAAGAATTCGATATATTTTAAAAATCTATTATTTCTTTATTAAATATTCATGAGTTAATCCTTTTTTGAAATTAGGTGAAATAGAATAGAATAAAAAGTATTGATTTCAGTATTACAGCAATTTGTAGAAATATACAGAAAAACGTAGCTGCCGAAATCAAAAGGTCTAAGCGTCAGCTTATGCTTGGATTCCAAGATGATTACCAAGCGCTGGTTTTCAGCTTAAACCTTTGACCCCCGTTTACTATAGATAGTGATAATGACCATTTAGTACATGGCTACGAAAACTGTAAAACGCTGGCTGTAAAAACTATAAGACAATTAAACCTTTAAGATATTTTAAAGGATGTAAATTAATTAGATAAAAAATCCCTTCGGATCTCCTATCAGCTCCCCGGGACGCTATCGCGATGATGCGGGGGCCTGACGTATGTGGTGACTAATAACGGGGGAAGCCATAAGCTTTTCCCCTCAATCGGCCCTATCCCCACGCGCAAGTCACATCCCTATCCCCTACCACCGCCGTCTCTTTCTTGATCATTACAACTTCACAGAAACAGATCACTGCTACCACTTCTGATCACCCGCCAGCATGCTAGTAATAGAGGTGGCGACTTTTCTCAGCAGACCACTAGATCGGGCAACTTCCTCTGTACACCTGCCACCCCGCGAACTTGGGAGATCATCCCCTCGAAAGGTAACTCGAAGCTCCAGCGACTGTCTAGGATGAGGCCGAAGTACTTGATGTTTTGTCTAACCTCGACCTCTGTTCACCAATAAGCAGGCGGGAGCTACACTTATACGTTTCCTATGAAACCATAAAATACTCGAGTTGAGTATTTTATGGTATTGGTTTGTTTATATGATTATCTGTGAAATCTCAGTTACCTATGGATCGGTTTTAAAATTTTTTTTTTTAGTATAAGAGTATGCTCCAATGATATTTCCTCTGACCTCCGACCAGAAAATATTACTCATTGCCTTTATAATGTTATGTTATTGAGTGTCACACTTTTTTTTTATATTTTGATTTAATTGTAGTCAATTATTATTAAATTTTAACTATTTTAGTTAGTAGTAGTTAGTAGTGTTAGTATTCTTTTTTTTTATGTTTATTTTTTAATTATTCCTTGTTTCGCTTTCATACATCGTCAGTTTTGTCTCATTACTCACATTATAATGTGCCAGAGTTTTTTTGATTGATTTATATTTGCTTTAATGCTGACGTATCTGACAGATAGTAAAAAATCACAGTAATAAATCCATTTTTCCTGTTATAAGTTCGTACCAGCCTAGTTTTATTTAGAATTTATCAGCAGTATTATTTAAGTTAGATTGTAATTTCTAACTTAAATCATACAGCTGATAAATACCCAGAAGTAAAATTCGCTTTTATTGTGGAGTAATCACAGCAGTAGCGTAATAGTAGCTAACCTTCTTTATAAATTGTGATAAAATTACAATGCCAAGATAGTTACGTAAATGTAAATTGATATCTGTGTTTGTTTGTTGCTACCGCCTCTTTATCTTTCCACACCATTACGATAAATAAGTGATAAGTGTGGTTTCAAATCTCACACACGACCGTCTGATCTCAAACTAGACAGATACTGTACTATGGTAACCAGATTGCTGATAAAGAGATTTATATATTTATAAATATATAGATATTTTATACATTTATTTAGAAAAAATACAAATTGAACGAGGCACGATAGAAATTATAGAATCGTGTTAATCTTTTACTATTTTTCTTCAGGAACACGACTATGTATTAAAATACAACTTTAAAAAAGTTTTGGACAAGAGAAGTATCTATCTTTCTTAAGTATTGTATTAGTATAATTTTACTTAGTGCTAAGAAAACAAAAATGTATCGTGTACTGCTTTGCCGACCACTTTATCTGGTATTTTCGAAATTCAAACTTGGTGCATTTTCTTTCTCGATCCAAAACGTAATAAAGCACTTTTGTTTCACAGGAATATATATATATATATATATATATATATATTAAAGATATAAGGATTGCTTTTTGTAAAACAACATATATATTTAAAAAAATGACAATTGGTTCTTACCTTGTGAACGCAGAGAGAACTTTATATACTTAAGTTTATTGAAAAAACTTCAGTACACTCAAAATACCTAGGTAGACCGTGTTTTGAAAAGCTAAATTACATTAAAAGGCCTATTATTATGTGAAATGTACTCAGAACTGTTCAACAGACGGTCTACTCAGTTAGCACTAAATCTCGCCGTAGGAGCATCTGAATTGTGCAGTTTGTGTCTTCCAAGTATTCCACACTGAAAAACCATTTGCTCTGCTTATATTAAAGCTCTCTGTATTAAAATTTATATTTATAAATAAATTCAATCTTAAGTTGATCCCGAAATAGTTTATTTGTTTGGTTATTCTAATAGATCAATTTCAAAATCATCAACTTCTTCTTTCTGTGGCTGAAACCGTAACCGAAGATAATCGAACTTCTTAATAACAACATACTTTAGCTGCATTATTGTTACATCTTCTGAGACTCGTTGCAATCTCGAGGATTATCCACCGCATGGTGAATCGCAGGAAGCCCTCAACAATTTCTTTTTATTTAACATTTCAATTTCCTTCACATATGTAATCCATATATCTTTATTGTAAAGTTAAGACCTTCACCCATTTGACTTCTTAGTTTGATTCTGACAAATTTGTTTCCTACGCCTCCTGAAACGATGGTCGCGCAATCTTGAGTTCCATTTAGTAGATGATTCCGAATGTTCACTGCCATGATTAAGGAGTAGCGGAATAGTCTTGGCTCTGGGTACTCCAACACGGTCGTTCTTATAACTAACGGTATGCCACACTTGTAAATATCTACCTTATACAAAAGGTCGTGTTCGTAGCCGTAACTTCGTTTTTCGATGTCGTGGAATCCATGTGGCTGTGCTCTTCTCAGAGGGCAGGAGACTGCTAGAAAGAGAACCACAGTGAAACTTATTGTCAACATTCTATTGTCTGTTTTGTACTGAAGGGCAAAATAGTGGTAATACGTTATAAATGTGCTCAAAGGGACGGTATTATGATTTACTGAAGCATTATTTTTTAAACGACATGTATCGCAAGATTGCATGGACAAAAACAAAACATGTGACTTCCAAAACTTGTTTCACAAAGATGTCTGAAATGCTGATTTCAGGACACCAGTGATAAAGTTTTTATATCACTATCCAAATATGTAACTTCAAAACCCAAGCATCATTCATCAACAGCTTTTAATAGTCCACTGCTGGTAGGAGATAGAAAGGAAAGTTTGGCATACTATACTACGCTGTCCAAACGGGTTGGGTTTGTATCAAGTTTTCCTTCTCTTTTAGAAAAAAACATTAGGTAAATACTTAGAACATAATACACTGATGCAATAAATCTAAGAAGTTCTTTTGTTTGTTTGTTTAAACGCATTAATCCCTGAAACTACCAGTCAGACTGGAGTAATTATTTCATCAAATTACGCTACGGTACGGGCCTTAGTAATGGAGACTTGAACCACGGCAGAACTTGAAACTAGGGGAAATGGATTGTGTATTTAATATATTGGTGATTTTAACAGTATTAGACACTCTTTGCCTTTCGTAAAAATATATATAGGTACATCTTACTGGTTCTGTTTCGATTTCTTCCAAGAAAGGTTATAACAATAAACACAATTAAATGATTCTTATTATATGTCATTGATTATATTATAATATAAATGTGTGTTTCTATAAATAACATTTTATAATAGTGCTAAACATCCTATTGCTTTAGAATTCTTTATCTTATGACCTTCTTTAAAGAAAAATGCAAGTTTTGAAATAGGAACATATTTTTGTTATTTTAATACACTTTCCTTTCTATAACACCCGTATTCCCAAACAACACTATGAGGTCTCTCAGTGAGTAAAGGCAGTCGTATTTAAGCTTTGCCGCAGTCGATAATTATTATCTATAAATACAGAAATTTTACATAATAGCGTAAAATTTTTAATTAATATATAGTGCCGACTAGAAACATAATTAGGTAATTTGGGATAACAAGTAATCGCTATGGTAGACATCGTATGTTTATATTCGATAGAAAACAATGTCACGATCTTTGTAACAAGATAACGTTGTTGTCTTTGAGATTTCCTCCCATTTTCTCGGAAGATGTCTGTGTCCGTCTTATAATAAGGCAAACATATAGATAGAATACATTTCTGATGCTTAACATTTGGTATACAATATTAAATAACATTCGTTACTTTATATTAAATAAATGAATTTGGGGGAAGAAGCTCCATAAGCGGAGGCCTGGGGGTGACAGGTGAGGCCATCTGTCACCCTAGCAGAGGCAGGCCGGGGTGGCGGCGAGCGCGTTGCGAAGCACGCGCGCCCTTCCGGGAGCACAGAGGGAACATGGGGGTTCCCACACAGGGGGGGTCGTCTACCGTAGATGGCCCGAGGTACGTCGTCCGTCGTACCAGGGATTTCCTTCCTAGGGTACACCTGGTTCCCCGACTACTGGTACCTGAGACGGCGTGCGGTTTTAGTCGGTTCGAGTCCGACATTGCCACCGGTAATATAAGTATGTTTATCAGCAATCTGATTACCATAGCACAGGCTTTGACTAGGGATCAAACAGCCAACTGCAATTCAACTATTAATATAAAATAACTTATTTACAATATTTTATTATTTAATTGATAGAAATACACTTTTTAATAATGATTGGTAACACATTTCATTTATCTAATTAGAAACCATTTCATTATAATGGATTTCACCACAGAGTTAGGATCATTAATTATTTAAAAGCCATTAATTATTTATGGCTAGAAGAGACTTAAGAACTCTCTCTAATTTAAGTTGTTATGATCATTAGACATTCTGAATTTGTGTAAGTCTCGCAAACATATAATTTGTTGCTATAATTTTTATTATTATGACAGTTAGTAGCCTTGAATAACGATAGAATCTGATAATTAAATTAATGTGATGTAATTTATTGTTTAAAATAAATGGTTTTGGTTCATCTTTTTACTAACCGACTCCAAGGAGGTGCTTTATTCTTTTGTATTTTTTTAATGTGTGTTCAATTACGACTTAATACAACTTTATTTTATACGGATGATTATGTGAAGAAACAAATATGTTTCTAGGAAGTTAATATTATGAAACAATATACATATGTCGTTATTTCATTTGAAGATAAATGTATTTAGTGTCATAAATATTATTATACCTTTATAAGTATCCACAGACGGCTTGGACTTCAACATAATGTTTTTTTATGGTGTAAGGGGGCAAACGAGCAGACGGGGCACCGAATGGTAAGCAACTATCGCCGCCCATGGACCTGGACCTGTAACTCAAAAGTCACAAATGCGTTGTTGCCCTTGAGGTCCCTCCCGCTTGAGTCACTCAGTGAGAGGCAACAAAAGAATTTCTTAACACCGTTTTTTTGTGAGGCCGTGGTATCACTCCGGTCGAGCCGGCCCATTCGAGCCGAAGCATGGCTTTCCCACGCTGAAGCTATTTGTGTTCATGAAGAACTTGGCGCTCTGTTAAAGAAACTGATGCAAGGCCATTGTGCTTATTTTAGTGGTAACGCTTCTTTTATTGTGAAAGGACGTTACTGCTTTTGGCTAATTTTCTATCCATAAAACAGATCTGTGTTTCAAAGGGTACTTTTTTTCATGTGCTTGTGCATGACCAAATGAACAAAATAGCAATGATAGAACATTGATAGACCGAAATATCACTTTCTCTTAGGCGTTGAATAAATATTTTCTTTCTTTTCTTTACTTTTATGAGAATAATCGACTTTGGTATTTTTTTATTCGTTTGTGTTCATGAGTTAGTCAGTTTCTAATTTTGCTAAAGTCACAAGTTTGCAAAGGTTTTCAAGCACAACACTAAAAAAGCTTATTATTTGTTGAATCAATGTGAATAATTACATTTGAAAGGCCTTGTATGATATATTAATGTACTTCAATGCAGCTTTTCTATTGTTACAGTAACATGGGTCTTCTAGAATTTGAAAAATGGTCCAAACAGCCAGATCTCTTCACAGAAAAGTCACGTGTTTGCGCCCGCCTTCGGGGTCTTACCCCAGGACAGAGGCGAGTGTGTCGCCGCCATAAGGACCACATGCCAGTAGTCAGTGCTGGTGTCAAAAAAGGGATTAACGAGTGCCAGCACCAGTTTGAAGGGAGACGTTGGAATTGTACTGTGACGAAAGACGAAACTGTCTTTGGGCCATTAACATTGATAGGTAAGTTTAACACTTGTACATTTAAAAACATTTTTATTTTTAAATCGAATATATAACCTACATAAAATTTTTAATAAAAACCACCACCAAATCTGAGACCACGCCTAAATTTCAAAGAAAGAAAATACGTTTATTAGCCACGACACACACACAACAAAAAATAAATAAAAAAATAGAGATAAAAAAAAAGAAACACTTTGCCAAACTAAAGAATAACCCAAAACAATAACAAAACAAACAATTACAAAATAATAAATTTATCACTGTGTGTGACTAAAGGGCCACAACTCAACCTTTGCTATGGTCCCTAAAGTGACCCCAGCGCTGATTTTCAGCTGAAGCCCAAAGATACCTCACGCACGTGTGCACAGCATAATTACTATAAACAAATACATGATAATTATATACATACATTAATTACATAACGTACATCCTGTTAATATATGAAGACATCAAATAACTATTTTATTAGAAATTGATAGATATAAGAGCAGAAAGCAAAATATATACAGATTAAGTAATTTTAGCAACATTACGGGGTCTTATTTTATAGTGTTTACTTCTTAAAAAAAGATATAGAGCCCTTAAAAATATCGGTGGCAGGTGTTGACGTCTACCTAAAACCCTTGTTTTACTGTTGCGTAGCGATAATTGTTAAGGAAAGATTGCGGCTTTCTTACCAAGCGGTTTAAATACCACCTTACGCTTTAGCCCTATTTTTTTCCAATCACCTAGAACACAAGTAAATGCGATCTGGATAATATATAATATGTATGTATGTTATATGTTACTAAGTCTTCTTCATACGTTGTTATTTCACGTAACTCCTCTTAAACTGCTGAACCGGTTTTATTGAATTTTTATGTGTGTTTGAGTTGGTCCTGTAAGGTTTTAAATATCTTTGGATGAACCTTATTCATGACTGGACTAGTACTGGTAGATGGTTACCATTATTCTTAAAGAACATACTTTTCGCGAAAAAAGTTTTTTTTTTAAGGTTTTAATTTAATTGTATTATCGAAGTCAATTATAAGAATGAAATAATCTAACGGTTAGGTGTGATAATCTCTGCCGTGTTCGCTAGTAATTGAACATATTTTATAATTTTTCTTTTAAAAAAAAGACAACTCCCGCATTAGGAATGTACCCTGTGTCGCGGGGGACTTTACAAACATACATGACGGACGGACACCAAGAACACTCAGACTCAGAACAACAAATTGTGGATCACACAAAGTGTCATCCCATGTGGGGATCGAACCCACAACATTCAGCGTAGTAGGAAACGGCGTGGCGACCGCTTAAACCACTACGCCATCCGTGCAGTCTCTTTATCTGTGGATTATGTTCATTAACATTCCTACACTGCAACAAAGCAGGACCCTCGCGGTCTAATGACTGTATATTCCTGAGTTGCTAACACGTCTATAACAAAAAAATGTAATATATGAACTGATATGTAAATTATATTTGTGTCTCCGATAAAACCATGTTATTGTATTTCTCTCACACTCTATTATAAATCATTCAGTTTTTTTCACTTCTTTTTTTGAACAATTCGTTTCTAAGTGTCGCAGTAAGATATCATTTAGCCAGACGTCCTTGGTCCTATCTCGCCATTTTTCCTACACACATTCTAGAGCAGTAGAACCAGCTGAAATGTACAGGCGTCACTATAAATCACTAACTGTCCGGCTTCTTGTCGGACTTACGCTTACGGAAAGATTTAAAGCTTAGGCACTAGCTGAAAATTTTAGCACTTAACTGTGGAATTATTCTACTGTGTACTTGATCTAGTAAGACTCGGCTTTCAGTTATTTCATAAAGTCTGATACGACGTTACTTAACTAATACTAAATACTAAATTTAATTATGTAAATTAGAGATCGAATCGAAATCGAATTTCGACCGTATTGAATGGCTTGTTTTATTTCATTGACCAGTATAACTCAAACTGTCATAATATGTTTATACCAAAACAAATGAACATATATGATGGACCTCTGTAGTATTATAAAGCTGTTTTTATACAATTATTCACTTTATGGCACACATTGTTTAAATTTTTGCATTGTACACTTTGTCTACGTATAAATATTAACTGTTTCAAATATTTTATGCCTTCATGCGCTATATTTATTTGATATGGGAAACAAAGTATTTTCTTCAGGTATTAAATATTGACGATGTAACGAAAATAGTACCAATGCTGTTGTTTGTTTTGTTGAAGGATCTTCTATCATATATACATATACCATAGAGGTCAGATCGTCGCTCAAAAATTGGCAATCATCCGTTTTAAAATCGATTGTAAACCGTTTTGATAACAGACATTTCAAGAGGATTAAAAAACAATACAACGACTATTATCAGTTATGTGTAACTTAGTCTAATACGCTTTGTTGTGACTTTGTGACCGTAGATTATTGATATGTCTAGACAGACTGTCAGAACTGTGAAAACGTCGAAAAAAATAGTGTCCATCTTTTGGCCGCTAAGTTACTTTCTGCTACTGTGTGCTTATATTACTAGTAAAATTATTTCAACATACCTTTGTGATATTCATTGAATATGGTTTATAACTAGGATAGGTTACTAAATGCAATAACCAAGTCCTGACTGGTTTATTTATTCATATGTGTGCTCATATATAATATACATTTACGCATATAACGCGTACAGTTATTGTTTTTATTTCATAAGCGAATAGGGAATAAAAGCATTTTGTCCAAAACATCGTTTATTTTATCCCAACTTGTGTCTTGAATCTCTTTATGATATTTTTACTACACACTGTGTTGTTATTTCTGTTATATTTTGTGGAATTTATTATATACTTTTAGCTAAGTATAGATCTTGGACAAACATATTTAATAGCTCTTTTTTTTATCAAGTCCCGTTTATAATTCAACATAGGCTTGTAATATTTATCGATTCGTATTTTACAATATCAACCATAATCTGGTAGTAAAATCTATAGCATATACAATGTCAGTAGTAGTTATATTTGTACAAATTATAGTTACTTATAGACCGACACACATAGGTACTTAATAAAATTTTAGTTTAAAACTGAAAGTTCATTGAATAAGTATCACATTCGTATCATACAAGCTTGCTTACTTGATTAGCTTGTATAATACGACTTATTAGAATAATTACTGCGCAACAACTAATAAGAAACTGTGCTAACATAACATGTATTTCTTTTAAATTGTACTTTACTATAAGGGTACATATATACCACATAAACATACCTCAAGAAAGAATCCGAAAGCCTATACAATGTACTTACTTCTGACTGAATATGAAACTGACTTTTAGTAACTTTTAGTTACCGTGGTGACGGATTAAGAATACGGAGTTTCACCACCCCTATTCATCCCGTGGGTGTCGTAAGAGCCGTCTAAGGGAACAAACTGCACAGGATAACAGCACTGCAAAAAGATGGAAAACTTGAAACAAACCCTGTACCAACCCGTCTGGCCAGCGTGGTAGGTAGTAGGCCAAAACCTCCTAAGGAGAGGCGTATGTCCAGCAGTGGACTATTATAGGCTGTTGATGATGATGATGATGATGAAACTGACTTTTAGTTGGTTCGATTCCGACATACCAATACACCGTGAGACTGTTCGGATGGCATAGTGGTGGCCACTTCCTACTGCGCTGAGTGTTACGGATTCGATCATGGGACAACATTTTGTGTGAACTACAAAATGTTGTTCTGAGTCTGGGTGTTCTTTGTGTCCGTTTCATGTATGCTTGTAAAGACCCCCGCGACACAGGATATTTTACTTTTGGAACGAAGTTCCTTATCGCGCGTTGTGAAAGGGGGCTAGACGGAAAAAATTCGTACGAAAATTTGGAACGACAATTTTTTATTAATATAAATTGACGTCTAACTGTGGATACCATACATTAAATTTGCTTTAACGTTCGCCAACGTCCATACCATGTTGAATACACCGGTTCTCGTCCGATCACCGAAGTTAAGCAACATCGGGCGTGTTTAGTACTTGGATGGGTGACCGCCTGGGAATACCACGTGATGTTGGCTTTTTGCTCTTTATTTTCGTGTCATCTTGTCAGACATTCAGCGCCATCTATCGAATAGATAGGAAATCATTTCGCAAGGAGATTTTACCAATGTATAAATTGTTTTAATTGTTTTTAATATGTAGGTAATAGCCGCTTTCATAGATGGCGTTGTAATTAAAATCGTGTCAAATCAGTTTTACTCGATCGTCACAACTTCGTTCCTATCGGGTGTCCCACGACACCACACGGCTTTTTTTTTCTGCTTCATTGCAATCTGTTTTCCAACAATAAGCCACTTCTTTGTTTGAATGTATTTAAAAAAAAAGATGATGTGGTGATGACCAGTGAGAACACAAGGTCTAGATAGCGATGTGTAATACGCCAATATGATTTTGTTCACAGCATCACGAGAGACAGCATTCACCCACGCAATCACTGCGGCCGGAGTGTCATTGTCCGTATCTCGAGCGTGTCGCGATGGCACACTCTCTAGTTGCAGCTGCAGTAGAGCAACGCGTCCCAAGAACCTGCACAACGATTGGGTTTGGGGAGGTTGTGGCGACAACCTTGAATACGGATACAAGTGAGCATTATTTTATCTAAGCCGTTACAAATAGGTGTTGTCAATTATTTTTTTCTGATGTCATGTGGTGATGGCTTAAGAATACAAAGTGTCACCACCCCCAATCACCCCGTAGGTGTCGTAAGAGCCGACTTAGAGTTGATGAAGTTGATTTATTTAACATTCAATCAATTAGCGGTATTATGGATCTAGTAATGTTACAGGTCCGAACCGGACCGGGCCATCACCTACCCAAAAAGCATTTAACATTGCTGGAAGGCTTAACAAGGGTAAGAGTAACATGTGTTCTACGCAAAAATGAATAAATGATAAACAACCGAAATTTAACAATTCTACAGTTCTAACTATTGACAAAAGCATCTACTACAAGAGAATAAACTTCACTTGAAAACAAAATTTCAACAACAGTACACTTCTAGCAACCTCTGTCCTCCTTGTACCTACTACTATGTTCTACTACAACTAGAATCTTGAAATTTCTAGTTGAACTAATTCTATGAATACCACCTTCTACAACTTATGTGGCCCCGTGCGTAGATTATTATTTTATTTAAATACGTTTCACCTTGTCCCGAACTAAAGTTGCCGCATCGCAACCGCTTTGCGTATTATGATCGCCTAGTACTTTTCCCCCACTTTATCGGAATTTTCCCCGCGGAAAAACTCTGTTGTAGATAAAAAAATAATCGATTTTCAAATTATCGACGTAATTTGTTCTTTGGGAAAAACAAATAATTATAAAATATTTAAACCCTCCTTATATTTAATGTAGCAATATCAAGATACACTACAATGGTCTTCTTGTAGCAAATTTTCGACATTCCTAATACCTAACTATCAATTTCATTAAAAAACTTTTCACCTGAATGTTGAAAATTATTTACATTTTCACCTGAAAAATTCAGGTAGAACTCACCTGTTTGAAACGACATCTGAATACTAGGAACGCATCACCCTGGCGAAAGTAACATTACCTGTTCAACAAACACATCCAAAGCATTAAGGTAGTCCCACCTGAACGGCATTTGTTGTATATCACACGCTTACCCGGTTTTCACCATATTCTGAAAAGAAATAATAACAGTCTTTCTATCTCGCTTCCTACTAGTCTTTTCATATAATTTCCAAACTGAAACGTAGGATTTCCTTTCTTCCTCTCTCTAAGCATTATACTGACCTCACCTGGACTTTCCTGCTTGTGTTATAGTGACGGTAGGTTTGCCATCGTGTTGGAAAAAGAAAGGAAATATCTCCCTCGCACATTTCATTTCCTGTTGGTGTAAACACACGAGAAAGTGCAAACCTTATTTGTGTGAGTACACCTGAAAATTTCCGTTTGAAGGTAAATTTTACTCCTTATATCTCATATAACCCTAGTATTCAGGTGAGAGGTAAGACAGGTGAAAAATATACCGGTGCTCTTTCAGGCGCTTCCATTTTCTTACCTGCCTGAAAGTTGTGAAAATTACCATACTTGTAGTATTTTTTTCAAAAATATTTATTAATTTGAGACATAGGATTTCATTTCACTGCTTAATTAACACATATTAAGGATGGATTCAATATAACATAATATTGAATTCATTTTATTATATATTAATTATCACCTTAATAAATGATTAATTAATGAACACAGTTACCAATCAAACATCCATCAATTAAACCAGTTACCAGTTTAAATTAAGCTTTGTCAAAAATAAAGATAACATACCTATCTCACGAGAATACTTTTGTACAAAATGTAAACATAATTTTAGACCAGGTAAAAAGAATACATTTTCACGTCAATTTTCATGTCAGCTGTCATTTGGGCTTCACGGGTGTCAAACCATGGCTACAGACAGGTTGCGTACCAGGAGAGTAGACTCGGCTAGGAGTTTACGATATAGCGTAGCACCATTCATACAACTGCTACGCTTACTATACCGCGACTCACGAAAAAAGCAACCAGTTCCAAATACTTAGAATGATAACAAAAGGTTTCCTATTACCTGATTACATGTTTTATCTATATTTCAACGAAAATTCAAAGGAATCTGGGATTTTCTTTTAAAATACATTTTCAGTATAATATTGGTTATCGATTTTTAAGTTATTAAGTGCAAACAATTAGTGTAATGTACTTTAACGTAAATAATAATGTTTCATGTAAATGAGAAGTAAACTTCTGACCATTATATAAATACAAATATAAAATTATACCATAACTACATACTAACTAGAGAAAGATTGCAATCCCAATTCATTAAGTTTAGGTCAGGTAAGTTTAGTAACATATAGGTCTTTACTTACTGGAGACCTTTGTAGTTCTTTGTAGCTGTTTTCAAGCAGATTTTTAAAGAGTATCTGATTCAGTTTCTTCTCTATTAATATTTTTTCTAAAACAGTTATAACGTTAACTATAGGAAAATAATGCTTAATTAGTATTTTTCTTTCTTTAATGTCATATTTAGAAGCCCGAATAGAGAACTAAATGAAATAGTTTTACCAAATCATTTAACACTTTGGGGTATAAAATTAACCATATCTATTTTTTTATTATTTCCTTTAATCAAATGCGTTAATTTGAAAATTATAATATTAAATTTTTAAAAATCTACCCAAGATGTTGATAGGACATCCAATTTGATTATTGTTATTTTAAAGATTTCATAAGATCAAACAACAGGCTTGCTTATAATGTTTTAAATTGAACGTGACAATCATCAACTAAATATATTTATTTTTAGTTCATTTTATGTAAATACTCTTTTATAACACGATTACTATACGATTCAAATTACGATTTATTAAAAAAGCCGTGTGGTGTCGTGGGACACACGATAGGAACGAAGTTGTGACGATCGAGTAAAACTAATTCGACACGATTTTAATTACAACGCCATCTATGAAAGCGGCTATTACCTACATACTTTTCAGTTGGTTTCTAATTAAAACAATTTATACATTGGTAAAATCTCCTTGAGAAATGATGTCGAATACAATATTTTTTGCTCAACCTAAGAACATAAATTTTAATTTTACTGAGATGAAAAGTAATGATTTCCTGTCTATTCGATAGATGGCGCTGAATGACAAGTGACAATTCAAAATAAATACTGATATTAAAAGTAATGATTTCCTATCTATTCGATCGATGGCGCTGAATGACTGACATGAAAAGTGTCGTTACAACTTTTCGTGAGAATTTTTTCCCTTTCACAACGCGCGATAAGGAACTTTGTTCCAAAAAAATATAATAAAAAAAAATGACAACCACAGATTCAGAAGTGTTGGTATGGGTGCACATTTTTTGAGGTGAGTTATAATCAGCTACGTAGTAAAGCGTAACGCCGTAGACTACCTCCACTGTAGGCATACATCCCTAGCACTTTTTCACGTACTGAAAGGGTTAAAACGCTGCTGAAACTGAAAGGGTTTTTTTTATATTCTTCATTCAATTCTGAAACGTGAAGGAATGTTTTTGAAGTAAATAAAGTGATGAAAAATTTTAGGTATTTTTATTAAACATTCGTAAACTAGTGGATAGTTTTGACTGCAGTTTGTTTACTTTTCAGTAATATTTTGAAATTAATGAATTATAATTCGGTGACAATGCATGGGACACCTTCTTGCAATGCACACATGAAAACAGTCAATTCCCATATTGAGGAAAGATAAAAAAAACTCTTAAACTAACACACATTGGGAGCGCTTTGTTTAGGTATGGTGTGGCGACAGCTATCAGCCCCACTGATCTGCAATCCAACAGAAACTGTTAGTATTCGTATCGAAAAAGTTGAAAAACTCCTTGAAAATCATCAACTTAGATGTTTTAGTGACTGTCGTGACTTGACTATAGGTAATGTACATGATATAAAATATTTGACACGTTCGATTCCTCTACTGGTGTACTTTTAAAATCTTCACCAAAATAATATAATTTATATTTCATAATATTCTGTGAATTGATTGACATTAAACGTATTTGCTGCTCATTTTCACGAATGTTTTTTTTTTTTTTAAAGACAACTAGGAATATATCCTGTGTCGCGGGGGACTTTATAAACATACATGAGACTAACACAGAGAACACCCAGACTCAGGACAACAATTTGCGGATTACATAAAGTGTCATTCCATGTGGGGATCGGACCCACAACACTCAGCGTAGTAGTAAGCGGCAGGTGACCGCTCAAACCACTACGCCATCCGTGCAGTCAATTCACGTTACGCTAACGAGAATTTAAATCTTCTTAAAGTTTAAATAAAGAAGAGCTTAATAGCTGAAAGATATATTTTTAAATGGTATGTAACATATAAATTAAAAACTTCGAATATCATACGATTTCTGGTGATGTATGATTTCCATAATGATTGATTTTAAGATGAAAAAAAAACACTGACGGGTCAACAAAAATATCTCGCAATCAAAATGCACGTTTACTTACTAGTTGGTGATGCTCTCACTGAAAATAAAAAACCTACACTTGACAAACAAATAAAACAACACTCTGTCAACAAATTAGTTATTTTTTTAAATGACGTTTTCAGAAAAACATGAAATTTTCTGCATATTTTCAGTAGATGTCACTAGGGGAACAGAAAATGATACACACTGTATTAAACGCGAAGTCGCTTTGCTGGCTGCTTTCGTTCGTCTCACCCTCGCTTTCCGCCATGTTACGTCACGGATTCGAGGCAAACTTACCAGGATGTTAGAAGTTATAGGAGATCAAGCGATATTATTGGTGACGTCTTGTTAGAAATTCATGGCTTTCCTTTTAATTTTTTAGAATATAATATTTTAGACATATAAACAAACTAGAATCATAATTATTTAAATATATCTAAACTAAAATAGAACGTATAGAAACTTATTCACGCCTGTATCTTATATAGGAGTAAAGAAAGACTCAGACCTCATAGGGTCAAGCACATTTAATATAAACAATAACTGGACGTGCCTGTAAATTAAACTGGTAAAAAAAAGAATATAAATTAAGCCAATTGAAGTCAGCCTGGCTTAAGAAGTTCATACTATGAACACCAACTTATATATAATGAGTACTTAGACATATACACAGAGAACATTTATATTAGGCCTACTTCTATTAAGACTAAGGGCTACTGCTACCGTCAACTGTCATTTCACCGACTTTATAAGAGTTTGTCATAAATCTATAGGAGATTAATAGTGGAGACGAAAAAGTTTTATTTTTTTGCAGTCTAAATACACTTTTGATGTTTTAGAAAATTTGTTTAATTTAAGACGATGATCTTAGGGTCTAAAATGAGGGTAACCACCAATAGGAGCCGAGTATTTTTTTTAAGATAAGCAGTCGAGGCTGCGCGAGGTCTTAAAGGAATGCTAAGATTTTTTCCTGTATTTAATATAAAAGTATAAAAGAACAAGAAAATCCTTCTTAAAAAAAGTTGAACTGACTTCAAACCATACTAACAAAGAGCACTAAAAACCTAGCATCATCATGATGCTGTCATTTTTTGAAGAGTTCCGTTGTCTGTCTCTGAAATTCATCATCAGATCTATATGAAATTTAAATGGCACGATTTTGGAATAAACCCCTTTCAAACGAAAAAAGAATTTTGAAAATCTATCTATATATGACGGAGTTATGCCCGAACATACATAAAAAAATAAATACATCCGAATTGATAACCTCATCCTTTAAAAACAAAAAAATCTAAGCACGATTTATCAACACACACACACGCCCAGAAGGTCAACAAGAAAGTGGCAATGCTCCTCTTCCTTAACCTTTCTCCTAAGAACGAAGCTTTATAAAAATCCGGGGTCGAATTACTAGGAGTTCATAATATCAAAGCAAGTAAAACCTACCCTCAAATTCTAATCACAGTTGTGTGAGTGTAGAGTGGACACATGCATATAGTGGGTGGAGTTTTCCCGTAACCGTATACAATACTCATGAAAAAATGTTTAGGGGTGTAGTAGTAGTATTTTTACGATAGAGCTTTTTAAGTTTTTTCATAGGAATACTTTAAAAAAGCTTTCCAATTTGTCCGTTTGAATTTTCTTCACCAGGGCACCATGTTTTCTAGTAGTTAAAGAATGCTTGGAATGCAACTGAGAATGTCGAACCTTCTCGCTAGAGAGGTTCCCGACTTCATAAAGGAGATTTTCCCGCATTCGAGTATTTTTCTCACCAGGAGCACATAAGACATACGGAAGTCAACAAGAATTTGGAAAATTGTAGGAATGTTAGTAAATCTCGTCGTAGATTTTATCAAGTCCGAATAGTTATTATTTTCTCCGGATTAAAAACGTAGTTTATTACATTAATTAATATTGAATTTCTTGTCATAGTTCATAGTTAAAAGTAAACATTTGCGAGGTTTTCTAAGTACCAAAGCAAGTAATTTCGTAGAGATGGCGATAAAGTAATAAAATATAAAAGTAGTCAATTCTAATTCTACTCGAATTCGATTTTTTAATGTGTAATCGAAACTAGAAAACCCTTTTAAACGTTTAAAAACTCTTTAACTTATTTACAAAATACCTCTAAAAACACGTTTTAAAAAGTTTACAGATTGTAGAAAATAAATATTTTTTTGATAATGTTTCTCTATCAGTCACTAACTTAGGTATATAACTATGTTCCATAACTTTTATAACAGGAATTGTGAAAGCCGCGTGGTTCGAAAAGCTTATTTGCAGCCTGCGCATCGTGAAGGGATTACCCGGATAACCCGGGTTTAGCTGGTAACGAACGCTTTAACACGATAATATTTACTAGGGAAGCATAACATGCGAGAGAGAGTTAATCCGGTCTCCTTAACCGGGTTGCCTGTTAGGGGCGAAACTCTGTGTCCTTCTTATGTTTTTTGTATAATAGTTGATCATTATTTTATAATTAAGATATAATATAATATCTATGTGTTTTAAATAATTTAAGTTCTTAAAAAATTAAGAACTAAGTTGGTTGCTCAAATAAACTGTTAATACATTGCTGTTGCAAACTTAAGTAAAATCGTGCAATGGAAATTGAATATTTTCCCTTACAACAAAGTAATCTCTTAGAATTTCTGATACCAGGAGCGTGAATTTACCCCAGGAAAACTCCCTATCGTAACTATAAGAACTCAATAACGAATTCTATGAAATAACACATAAGGTTGCTTTTCCGGAAATAATGTTACTATAACTAATCGATAACACTCGTAGACTTTGCTACGCCCACCACCGCGTAGCTTTGCGGAACGTAGCACTGTACACTCATCCCTTTCTAACAATGTTCTCTTTTCTTTATTGCAAGCTCTTCTAAGCTACCAGGAGTAGAAAAGTTACTCACGTCTAAGTTTTCGTTTACAAGAATTTTACAATGAATTATAACTGAGTTCACGTCAGAATAGTTTGAAAGATGTCTGCATGTTGATAACTATTTGAAATATAGGAGGTGTCACGACGTGATATATGACAAGATCGTAAATTAGATTTTAGTATGTAAACAATCCAGATTTTATATTTAACTGCATGTAACGCGTTTCTGGCTGTTAATTAATTGTCTAGTTTTACCTGACTTTCGACCTCCTTGACAGCTGATGGAGGGGCCTGTTGGTTTAGGGGTTAGTGATCCTGACTGCTAATGTCAGAGGTCATGGGTTCGATTCCGTCCCAGGAAAAATAATTGTGTGATGAGTCCCATCATATATTCTGTGTCTGGATGTAATGTATCTAAAATATATATGTACTTGGAAATATTTAAGTAAGTTTATTAGTCATTTTAGCAGTCTGGTTTTCTCTAGCAGGCTTTTGGTTGGCAGGCTCTGCCTAGTTTGGAATCAGACGGCCGTGTGTTAGATATGTAAGGTAATTATTATTACTATTAATTATTATCGATAATACAATCGATTACAGGATTCGGACTTTAATTATTATTGACGATTCAAGTAATATGTAATGCGATCCTGACATCATCAATATAAATATTTGTTGACCAGGTTCACGGAGGTATTCGTGGATATCAGGGAGCGGGAGCGGAAGGTGAAGAGAGGCAGCCGAGAGCAAGGGCGGCAGCTGATGAACAGACACAATAATGAAGCAGGCAGACGGGTAACTTCTTATGAATTTAGAAATTAAACTCAAGGTTGTATATTCAGTAATAAATCCAAATATCAATAGTTGTCTACATACAAAACTTATGTAAAAAATGAGTTACAAATACGAAAAATTTGAAGTTAATATTATTTATCTTTCGTAAATAGTAAATTTTAATCTGAATTTAGTCTAATACAAATTATCCAGATTTATTGAGACCAGTACTCGTGATAGCATGTTTGGACTAAGATAAATCGTTACACTATGTCATCGCCTGCGCAGTACAAGGTCTTCTGTTAAATTTTTATGCAAATTTAGTTTTTAAGCCTTAGTTCTATACCGCGTTGGCTTCAGTTCATACTAAAGACTACTGGATGGCAGTCCTACTTGTATAATTTTTTTTACTGATTTCACAGTTTTGACCTATGTCTTGTCTTTAAATATTTGTTTTCGAACTTCTTTCCTTTTTTTTCAATAGTCAACCTCTGTACTAGGAAAATATCCTATGTCACAGGGGACTTTACAAAGATACACAAAACGGACACAAAGTACATCCAGACTACTGAGTCTGGATGTACTTTGTGTCCGTTTTGTGTATCTTTGTAAAGTCCACTTGTTATGTGTCCACTGGGACACACCACACAAGTACATCCGAACAACTATTTGTGGATCATACAAAGAGTTGTCCCATGTAGGGATCGAACATTCAGCGCAGCAGTGACTGACGAAGACGTCGCCGTCGCACTAAAAGTTACTTACGCAAACGTTACTTCTTCCAATTCGACAATTGGAAGTCGACACTCTGCCGAAATGAGGATTTTAAACTCACTGAAGCTCAACTTGATGAAATTGTATATATTTAGATAATCAAAATCTGATCATATTTCCCACTGCTTTTAAAAGATTAAGTTTCTACCAAATGAGCTTTTTTAAAACTCACCTATCCTTGGAAATATAAACATACTTTATTAACTCTGTGTTACCTCAAAACAGCTCGTGTGGCTCATGTTACATCATCAATCAACAACAGCCTTTATTTAGCCCACTGCTGGTCTACTACACCACGCTGGCTAGACGGGTTGGTATAGGTATTTTTTTCAAGTTTTCCTTCTCTTTGCAGTGCTTTTGCCCTGCGTAGTTTGCTCCCTCAGTCGGCTTTTACGACACTCACGGGATGAAAAGGGGTGGTGACTCTCCGTATTTTTAATCCGTCACCACACGGATACATGTTCTCTGTAAAAGACAGGTATATCAATATGTAAAGTGTTATCTGATCTGTCTATAAATTTAAAAGAATCAAAAGGGTTGGTTATCATCATGTCATAATAGTTTTAATAAGAATTATCAATCAAATATCAATTAAACAAAATGTTCCAATTCGAAATTCAAAATGACTTTATAAAAGGAGGTGTATCTTAATTCTGCAAAAATACCATCTCGGAAAATTATGGAATGAAAAATAGACTATAACAATTCATCACGATGTAGGCGGATTCAATTTGGTGATAATTGTTTAAAAGTTAATTATTTTTGACTTATTTGTAATCAAAGAACCTAAAGACCCATAATGTCAGAAATGTAAACAGTCGATCTAATAGCACCGACTGTGTTCGACTGACGAGAGGTACTCGTATCACTTCGATGCAATCCGGTCAAAAAATATTGTAGTATAAAACCATAACCATTAACCATTGCAAATTCATATTCTTAGCAATTGAAAATGTATTTTCATAAAACCTCAAATAAAACTTCTTCACATTTCCAATCGTAAATATTACGATCATTCATAAAAAAAAAACGAGTGTGCTTTAGACCACACGACTGAAGTAAAACTTCTTTAAAGAAATTAGAGAAAGCGAGAAATGAAATGTGTACTCGCACCTTTCTCTCTTGGCCCTACAGAGTAATATACGAAACGTAACTCTCTTTCTTTCTATCTTCAAAAATTTATATCTCCCTCTCAACTTCCGTTCGCATTGCCCAATCACATTTTTCGCAACGCTCTCGTCACGCTGAGTGCCAGCTTACTCCCCAAGTCAAGCGTGCGTAAAGAAGTTTTACTTCATTAAGACGAATGGTTAATATGAAGACAACAGTGCTGATAAATGATAATCTTAAATCGAAAATAAATGAACGATTATTCTGATTATGTCAAAAGACAATATCGACCCCATGTCCATTATTCAAATATCATCTATCCTACCTACATTTTTCAAATATCATCTTATTATCAACAGCCTTTTATAGTCCAGTGCTGTACATAGGCCTCTCCTTAGAACTAATAATAACCATATTTCGTTATATATATACGTGTGTACTTCGGGAATGTGGCCTGCCTGCCTCTAAGAGGTAAAAAAAAGAATCCTGTCTGACTCGAAACTAGTCGAAGCTCGAAAGTTCATATTCATTTAATTGTAGCTTAGGACAGATCGTTGACAGTCTTGTATTATAACATAATCTTTGGTAGCTAAGCTACTTGGGGCCATAAAAGTATTATTTTTTTTGGTTCAAAAGAACAAAAAAATCAGAACTTCAATTTTCTAATATAATATTATACTTGTATGAAGTCAGCTACAAAAAGTAATCAAATTAATTTTGATAGTAAAATAATTTTGTTACTAATACTAGGCTTAATAACACGAAAAGCAATCTTATTTCAAGCAACAAGATCTGAAATCGACGGTAAGCTGTCACGCACTATAAGTTTTCTGCTTTGCAATAAATATTGCTTACTTTGCAATTAAAAATACTCAATACTAAATTGAGTATTTTTATCCAGGGTATTACTTTTCTAACAAAAAATACTTATAATAGCAATGAACGTTAGCATCGCGGAATTTATTTTCTTATGATTATTTTCAAAATTGTCCTTAGAGCAGCTGTCGCCCGTTGTTTAGTCACGTTTAGAGTATGGAAAAATTTCCATACTCTAAACATGACTAAACTCGTAGTTAATCGCCTACTTTATGGCCCAACGAATAAATAAATGAAATTGGAGATTACAGTCGTCTTAATGTAGCTAGTGGCAAGCTTCTATTGGTTTTATATTGCGAGATGCGGAAAATTAATCTTTTATAAGCCGGATAATGTCGTCAGAACAGTTGTAGACATTACTTTGTATAGCTAGTATCTTTAACGGCAGAAATGAGCTGGGCGAACTTAGGTCTGTGGTTTAGTTATATTAATTAATCCATCAACGTATAAGATGCTGATAATTTTGTCTGTCCAAGCCTTATTGTCCTTATATCTAGTTGACTGTCAATGATAAAGAAGAATAACCTTTTGAAAAAGAGTTCTTATTCATACAATTGCTTATACATAAAGAAACGTTACAAGTTAAGAGTTTTCTGTACTATACTCCTTTTTAAGCAAATTTTACACAAAGAGGAACTTTTAAATATTTAAAGTTTATTATTTCATTTGGTCAGCCGACGATTATTACACTTTTTTTTTCCGTGCGGAAATCCCCTCGGATACCACCTATCGGTGGCATCTCGGACTCGAACCGACTAAAACCGCACGGCGTCTGGGGTACTAATAGCCGGGGAACCAGGTATACCCTAGAAAGGAAGTCCCTGGTGCCCCGACATACCTCGGGCCACCTACAACAACAGGTAGACCCCCCCCCCCCGTGTGGGAACCCCATGTTCCCACTGCTCCCAGCGAGCTTCGCAACGCACTCGCCGCCACCCCGGCCTGCTTCTGCTAGGATGACAGATGGCCTCACCTGTCACCCCCAGGCCTGCGCTTATGGAGGACGGAGGTCGTTCAGCGACCTCCGGCGCCTGAGTCGCCTGCGGTACCTGGCCCGTTCCCGGGCCTGGCGGGCCGGGAGAGTTCTAAACCTCCCTCTAAAATCCCCGAAACATCCTTTCCCAGTGATCACCTGCGTCAGTCGGTATGAGAGGGTCCCGTGACGCCTCTCGAGCCAATCCTCCATAACGGGTCTTACCGCCGCGATGACGGCGTGCCTGAAACGATTATAACACTAAGCATTACAGATTCAACTTAAATGCTAAACATGTGTGAGTGCAAAAATCACTTACATGCTAACACCACATGCACAAACAATAACAGTTATAAAAGTTTAAAATAAAATTGGAGTTTCAAAATTAAAAAAAAACTTTTAAGTAGTTATTATATTAAATCGCTCTTTCTAAGCAATGAGACAGATACCTTATAAGTTGTCTTCCTCTCGAAAGCGTATTGGTTCATAAAAGTCGGCTAATATCTGCTTATATGCGATTTCATAGTAACATTATACTAACATAAACAAAGTGGTTTGTTTATGTATACAGTTATGACGTATACTAAAGCTGATTTATTCTCTTTTATATAAATTACATTTTTTATGGTGTAGGGGGCAAGAGCAGACTGTCTGTCACTCACTATTGATGGTAAGTGATTACCACCGGCCATAATCATCTGCAACTCAAGATACTAGTCTAAATATGTATGGAATTAATTTTGTGTGGCATTAAAACTGCCAACTTTATTTTAGTCATTAAAACATAAACGTGTTGAGTATAAATCCGACATTTTTAAATTAGCCACATTGTTGTCCGCGTCTACGGTATTTCCGGACCGATACGATCTTAAAACCTTCAAGAAAAGAGCGTACTCCTTCCTGGCCAGCAACGCGATTGTGACACCTGAGTTGGCGTTCATGGCCGGCGGTAGTCGCTTTTAATCAGGTGACCGTCTGCTCTTTTGCTGCCATAAAAAAATGTGTCGTTATAATTGAATCGTGACTGGACGACCTGGACTGACGACGATAAAAGACATGACCTTAGCTTTAAATCCCCCTTAGGATCCGGGGGAAAGGGGATTTATCTCCGATAACCTCACTCATTCGGTAAAAATAGACGAAAGAACTGCTTAACATCGTTTTTCTGTGAAGCCGGAGTGGAGTGGAGTTCGGCTTTATCACTCCGGTCGAGGCGGCTTCTTTCTGCCGAAGCATGGCTCACCATGGTAAAATTGTATTATTGGGTTTAAGTAATACTCAAAATCAAAATCATATTTATTTGCATAAAACAGGTATAAAGGTGGTAGAAGATACATCATATAATAAATGGGTGTGCTGTAATATAACCTCTTAAAGGTGTGCAAATATTTAGACATAGATAGTTAAAAGATTATTATCTAGACATGCAACATGACAAATGCAATTTGAAGAATATATTCATAACATAAATTTAACGCAACGTTAATGTCAGAGAATTAATAATGTCAAGAGTATTATAAAAATTATAAAGTCAGATCAATACAATAATAATAATCAAATAGTCAAAACAATAAAAAAACAACAAAACGTAACTACTTTTCAATATATTAACATTAAGTTCAACTATGTGTGTATATTGTCTTTATATTACAAGCCAATTGGTGCCACAGTCTTGATGACCTCTCCGATCAGAGAACGGACTTTCGGATACGAGATTCCAGCCTCTCTAAGATAATTTCCTGTTTTAACCGACTTCGAAAAGGAGGAGGTTATCAATTCGGATGTTTATGATTTTTTTTATGTATGTTCGGGTAAGACTCCGTCATATATAGACAGATTTTCAAAATACTTTTTTGTTCGTCCCATTTAAATTTCATATAGATCTGATGATGAGTTTCGGAGACAGACAATGGAACTCTGACGACAGCAAATCACCCGCAATTGCTGATAGGTTTTAGTGCTCTTTGTTAGTATTGTTTTAAGTCGGTTCAACTTTTTTAAGAAGGATTAAATCATGTAAAAAAACATTCAACGAAACATTGACTGCACGGATGGCGTAGTGGTTTAAGTGTTGGGGGTTCGACCTTTACATGGTGGACACCACTTTGTGTAATCCACAAATATTTGTTCTGAGTCTGGGTGTTATTCATGTCCGTTTCATGTATGTTTGTAAATGCCTTTTTGTAAAAAAAAAGTGTTATCGTAAAAAATGGCCGGTCTTTAAAGAAACTATCCAAAAGCGTTCTCTATTATATAACTTATATTATTCTTGTATAAAAACTTTATCCAAAACGAAAAGAATAATTAAAATCTGGTCTGAGATTAGAAAGCTTAAAGAAATAAAAAATTTCAATCCTTACTACTTTAGTATAGATTAATCAAATTTATACTGTTCTGGTAGGCAGTTGTTTGTGTCAAATTTGTACTGTTCTGGTGTCCTTTTATGTGCTTTAACTTGTTTTTTTTATTGCAGGCAGTTATAGCTAAGTCCCGTGTGACGTGCAAGTGTCACGGCGTCTCCGGCTCGTGCAGCCTCATCACCTGCTGGCAGCAACTTGCTAGCTTTCGAGAAATCGGTAATAATTCTACCTTAAATGTGATAGATGAGGTAGATAGGTATTACTACCTTTCTACTACAAACTTTTTGTCTTATACATAAAAAAAATGTTAAGTTGGTTTGTGTACACTTCAAAAACTCAAAAATTTCTGCACCGATTGAGCTCAAATTTTGACACGATTAACTACCCGCTTCAAAGATAATTTTTCTCGTCAGTTTTGTTCCTTATTTCTCATTATTGGTACAGCTAGTTAAATGCTAACTAAATATACTACTCCTAACTGAAGTACAAGAGAAATATAAGAGTCGCACGTTTTTGTTTACAATTCTACATCATATTCTATTAAACACATTCTTTGTGTTATTATTGTGGTTCAAAAGGTGTAATTTTATAAATTACTGTCCCATCCCCATCCCTACAGGGAACAAAGGGAGGATCCCGGAAGGGATAAAACTAAATTATATGTAATTAACTCCAAAGTATCCTCGTTTTAGTACGAAAAGTGGACGTTTTATGTTACATAATCTTTTTAGTAGGATTTTTTTATTTTTGTTTTTAGAGAACGTTGTTTTTTGGTATCTGCTTTAATTTTTTAATTGGGTTAACATTTTTCAAATATTCGTTGAAGTCCAAGGAAAGTTCTTATAAAGAAAAATAAATTCTTTATCTCTCTCTACACAAAAACCTTTAAAACTGCAACTAATCGCAAACAAGAATAAACCTTACAACTTAAAAAAACACTGAATTGTTTTCCCTCCAAGCTAATAAACTAAAACCTGATCTAATTGTGGTCATTTAATAAACATTTCTGCCATTGAACACAACCTAACGTTCGGAAACACTCAATTAAACGGACCGATTTCTAAACGAGTTCCCATTGTTTGTTAATAGACCTCCGACCATAGATAATGGGTGATCATTATTTTCTAATCTCTGGTGTGTTTCTGTCAGCCTGGTACATAAGAAATTAATACATCCCGATTTTAACTTAATAGTTTTAATTGTTCTAAAGTGTTTGGTAAATGACGTACATTTATAAATCCTTTGTTAATCTTTTGTTTCATTCAACTTGTTGAAATATTGTGAGAAATTAACTTTAACTTGTTGTCGTTCGTTCTAACTTTGTATTGTCTGTTGTCTACAGTTATTACTTATTTCTATCGGCTTACTGATTTATCAACATATAAATAAGATCACTAAAATAAGTACGTTAGGAGTTCTATAAATAGAGGTAGGAATTACTGGCTTGGCTTTCTTCTTAGTTCTATAATAATCAAAGATTTTGGCCTACAGTTAAGCATGGCTGGTTGGTTAGTGTTATTATAAACTTAAATTACTTTTAAATTTAAATATACAAAATATCCATACCTGGAAAACTATTATTTTAGGTTGCCTTGGCTGTATTTTGGGCAGTTTAATGCAAGATTTCAAGATTTAAATAATAGTATGGAGCGTATAAAATATAAGAAATAGCATCGATTTTATATTTAAGATATCTTTAACTCCCTAGCATCCATGTATAGGTAATAATTTACAGAGCATTAGGAATATTTAAGACAAAACAATTGGAAATTTTAAGTGTTCTAAACTTAATGATTAATCATTTCAATCGTTAAAAGACTTAATTATATAGTCACAGACCACCCAAACAACTTATAACAGGTTTATCCAAAACAATAAATTATAAAAACCCAATAAAAATTAAAAGCTATAATAAATAATAAAATATAACTACAATTACTGCCAGATTATTGTTTATTACAGCTTTTGGTGGCTCGTAAACATGGAATTGGATCTTTTTACTTCTAATAAGCTGTTTAAATGACCGTAAAACCATATTTTATGAATACCTACTTTGCTGCAACGTCGTCGCGTTGACCTTAATTTTGTAATCGCCGTTGTTAAATAAAAAAGAAATATTAGAGAAAGATAGAAGAAGACAGCTCTTTGTCTATGGTCTAATGAACATAGGTGGTCATCTCATCTACCAGTTACGATTGACACTAGGAATTCCAGTCGTAACTGGTAGATGATTTCCACTACAAAAATACAGACAAAATTGAACATTTGTAACAACGGTATCTTTAATCTAATTTTTCGATAGGCTATTTTTTAACAGTAAATCCTTTTGAAGATGACAATAAAAATCACACGTTATAATTATTTGGTAAATAAAACAAAAAAATGTATATTTATTATAATAAAATTAAGGTCTGCCTATTTTGACGCACGACGACGGTTCCAGTTAAGACGGATTTTACCTACTCGGTCTGTCGTCCGATGCACTCGGATGCACTCGCTTCTTTCTTACAAAGCAGACATATATCTTTAAAACGGCAGATTGATGATTCTCTCAGCATGATTAATGATCCTCCAATAAGTACAGTACTTACTGATTAAGTAAATCTAAAAATCAGCCATGTCGAAAGTACTCACGGCTAATGCCTGGTGTTCAACATAGTTAAATTTACCGATTTCTCACCCCTCATTTATTCTTTTAAAATCTTCTAAGGCTAAGCTAATCTTACTTCTAAAGATATTTAATTATGAATACAAATAATAAAACTTTTTACAGCTGGCTATAATTTACTTTCATTGTTTTTTCTTGCTGCAGTACTTTGATCTTATGGACGTTTCAACATAATTGCAAAGTAATTGTTCAAAATAACACTGTTTATTAAGACAATACCTATAATTAATGACAGCAAAATAAATGGTGGCCGCCATCTTGCGGGCGGGCGTGTAAATCAAACGCCTTCTAGTGCCAAAAGGCAAAGAAACAAGTGTGTACGGACGCGCTTCCAATTTATTGTCAAAATATGCTAATTCTTTAATGTGGAGTTTTAAAATGCAATTAAAATAATTTATTAAGCAGTTTCACGTTCGAAGCATTTTAAAGTACAACCTACTAAGACATAAGGAACGAAAATAAACTACAAACAAAAAGTTACAGGTTAAAAGTGCATAGATATGAAATTTAATAAATTATAGTTTAAAAAAACTAATTATAACTATTTTATTGCTTTTTTAGTCATAAATGAACAAAGAAAATAAAAAATACAAAAGTGCATAACAAGACACAAAATTAGTGTAGTAGATCTTTTCAGGTAAATATTTAACGCGTTCTCCATACCAGGCAAGACTGTATCGTAATGATGATTATTTTCTCATTAAGACAAAAAAAGTAACAAGTAAGTCGCATATGCTTCAGCACACGCCTGTTAGTACGTAGCAACACTACCGTATTTTAAGGTACGGAATAAGCCGTCAAACGAATGATTGTATTGTCATCGGTCGGACAATTCACGAACACTAACTTTCGACGCGGCTGTAAGTTTCCGCCGAAACGGAAACCGAAACTTCGGTTGGTCACAAATTTATTTGTCGTGGGTGGGAATCGAACCCATGAGCTCTGTCTTAGCAGTCAGGGTCACTAACCACTAGACCAACTGGCCAATCATTCTTAAATTAAGTCATTGATTACTTAAAAATTAGAACGTAGTTGACGTTCATAGTTCTCACATTGCTTTTCATTCTAAAGCATGTGATGCCGTATCTTTGTTTCCTCTCTAGCATTTAAAGTTAATGTTTTAGTAGATACATTTAAAGATGCATTTATCAGTGGGTTTTTTTTCAGGTGATTATCTCAAAGACAAATACGAAGGTGCGACGGAGGTAAAGGTGTCTCGCCGGGGGAAACTCCGCCTCACCAACCCAAGATACACTTTGCCAACAGCTCAAGATCTAGTCTATCTTGAAGACTCACCGAACTACTGTGTGAAGAATGAATCTTTGGTAAATAATTTTTATATAATTATTCTATAATTTTGTATTGACGATAAAAATTACTAGGTAATGAACAAAAGTTCTTTATTTCAACTACAGGATATTTCGAAAACAGATTACAAAAGCTGTGCAATTTTTAAATATACACTGTAAATAAAAGTCTACGACGGTTTATTTTTTAATTTCGTTAACAAAATGTTAAAAAATCAAAATTAAAATATATAACTTCTACTTAAAGTTATTACCTACGTTGAATGTCTTACTATTAGTAAAAAAAACCGGTCAGGTACGAGTCGAACTCGTGCGCCGAGGGTTCTATACCTACCCAGATTTTACGTAGATTTTCGCGAAAATTTGTAAGTACTAAAATTTATCTTAATTGCTAACTTTTTTTTATTTTTTGGAATTATTCTTTTATTTGTGCTGTAAGACGTTTCTTTTTGCCGAATTTCGTGATTCTAGTTCAACGCGCACTACCATATAGGTTTCCGACCCAAAACCCATAGGGTACTTCCGGTTGACCTAGAATTGTCAATTTTGGTTAAAAGCAAGGTCTATAGCACAAGTAAAGAGAAAATTCTGAAAGATAAAAAAGTTGGAAATTAAGGTAAATTTTGGTATTTTGAAGTTTTCGCGAAAATCTAAATTTACCCATAGCTTTTTATCGTGTTGACTCAGGAACTTGATTTTTATACAACTAATAGGGACCATAGACCTCAGTATCTGGTATGAATTTCAACTTGCTAGGTCTACCTGTTCCTGAGAAAATCGGTGGTGACACACGGACAGACGGACAAGAAAGTGATCTTATAAGGGTTCCTTTTTTACCTTTTGAGGTACGGAACCTGAAACTATTACACTTAGTGAAAAAAAAAGAAATATAAAGATTTTGGTACATTAGTTTATTAGTTTAGTAACAAAGAAAAGCTTTTATGCAACTCTATATTGCAGTTTGTACTTATACATATCCCTAGGGATGTTTATTATTTTTCCGCTTTTTTAATGAATTTATTTTATTTTAGAGACCCTGGTTAGGTAAAGTTTTGTGTGTTAACTCTTTTGTTTTATGATTTATAATGGTTGGTTGTACTTTTATGTCACTATCACAATTTGAGACCGACCACGCTGAAGTTATTTCTATAGATATATACTTTGCGTTATGTTGCGTTCCGTATAAGAAATTGCCAACCTCAAAAATTATTCATGCAATAGTAGGTAATTATGTGTAATAAAACCCCACAATGCCTATCTATTACCTAACGAATAAAACGATAATCTATTTAAGTATGAAATTCATTTCAATAAACTGTATGACTTTATCGACTACAGTAAGATTGTAACAAATGAGTTATTGATTATTGCACACCATTATGCTATCGTCCGCCTATAAATTATAATAATTTAGTGATAACGTAGGTAACCATTAAGCGAAATCGAAACTGATGCCATTTACACGTACAGTGAGGCTAACAAATTTACATAATCAACAAACATTTATTCATAAAACCAGTTTAGAGTAAGTTTCTGTAAAATAAGATCACGATCTTAGGTCTGTCATAGTATGCTCCATTAGGTTTTATTGAAACCTATTAAAAGACGACTGGTCTACCCTCAATATATGTTATAATGAAATGTTACTTAAAACTTAATTATATACTACGTGTAAATATATTACTTGACTAGCTGGTACCCGCGACTTCGTTTGCGTGGAATTTGAAAAGCGCTGCGTTAGTAGTTAGATTTCCGGACCGGGCAAAATTTAATAGGGTGTTTCTGAGAAGAAAAATAGCCTAAGTTACTCCTTATAGAGACAGCTACCTGATAGTAAAATATTATCAAAATCGGGCAAGCCGTTTTGAAGATTACTCGGAACAAACAGACAGACAGACCGACAGATAGACAAAAAGTATTTAAACTGGTTTTTAGGACAAGGTATCGTGCAAATAACCGTGCGAGCGTGAAAAATACCTATCATTTTGGCATTACAAACAGACACTTATTATTTATTTGTATAGACGTATTAAACTTGCAACATATATAACAAACTTATTGTTTTCAATTTCATGTTGCGTTGTTTTTGTTGTTTTCTTTATAATGTTGTGTTTATCTTTTTATTATACTCCTTATAATTGATAGCTTATAATAAAGTACTCCTGGTAATAAGTAAGTTCCTCCTCATTCCTCCTTCTAAGACCAAAAAGTTAAAGAATTCGTAATTAGAGTAAGGAGGTGGAATCGTGTAACTATGGCAATGAATGATCATATTTTCCTTTTCTTTTCAGGGTTCTCTTGGCACAACGGGTCGCATGTGTAACAGAACGTCATCAGGTATGGACGGTTGCGCTCTCATGTGCTGCGGTAGAGGATATAACACAAGACGTCAAGTCGTCAAGGAGCGTTGCGGCTGCAAATTCCACTGGTGCTGTCGAGTCGAATGCAACACATGCGTTAGGACCACTGAAGTGTATACTTGTAAATAGATATTTGTTGATCCCATGACAGTCGAGTTGGTTAAGTTCTCTTTCCTATTTAAACATGGAATGGTCTGAAAACTGTCACAGTTATTCATTATTGAATACAGATTATAAATATGTTTTCTGGCAAGTATTGTAACAGTGCAAGTGAACGTCGTAGTTTAGACTATGTCTGTTTATTTTTCTATAATTAACTTAGTTTTCCATCTTTACCTAATCTGAATAGGACATCTGCGAACTTATCGATATTATTAAACCAAGGCTACCTTAATATAGAACATAAAAAATTAATACTTAAGGATTTTTACGAATGTTTTCAAATGGTTTAAGGATCAGATATAATTTGCATGTCTTAAATTTTGTTATTAAACATTACTTTGCAAATATTTCTAATTTCTGATTGTTAATATTGTTATATTATTATCGAACTGAAACTGAACGTAGGGTCTAGGCTTCTATGTGTATTCTTTCTGGTAGCAGGTATAAAATATGAGACAAAAGAGAAGGATGCAGGGACCTAGCCGTAATCTTGTCAGTTTTTTTGTACCCGTAGAAAGTCCTCTATGAATTTTGGTGAGGTATATGAAGGAAGCAGGAGGTCAAACTCCTACAAGAGAGCGTAGCAACATAAGGAGGTAGGGGATTTGGGTTCGAGTCCTGAGAGTCGAGAAAGGCTGTCTTCTTCTGCGAGCAAGTTATTCTTGCGAAGGATATGGCGGAGCGGGACCGGAGAGGTTCAGAACTATCCAGGCCCTCCAGGCTCGGGAACGGGCCAGGTACCGCAGACAACTCACCCGCCGAGCGGCCTCCGTCCTCCATAAGCGCAGGCCTGGGTGTGACAGGTGAGGCCATCTGTCACCCTGGCAGAAGCAGGCCGGGGTGGGGTACCAAGGTTTTCCTTTCCTGTGCGGTTTTTGGTCGGTTCGAGTGCGTCATAACCCTAACTGGTGTATGGTATCCGAGGGGAGTTTCGCACAAGGAAAAAAAAGGGGGAAGGTAGCAACAAAATGTGCAATCGACTCGTATTTATTCCGTCCCTACTTTATTTTATAATATTTAGTACTTTATTCAGGCTTTAGTACTTTAGTCTAGTGCTTTTTTGCAAGAAAGGGAATTGAAAAGTTCCCATGGATGCAATGATAACGTTTGGTAATGTGATTTAAAGACAGATAAGACAATTCGTAGATATTTAACTATTCTATCATCTTTTTATTTATTTATAACCCAAGCTGTAAATTATATTAGAAGGATCTCATTTTACTAATAATTATTATTATATTAGAAATTACGCATAATTATTCAGTATGTTGAAAATATATTTAGGTAAGTATATAAGTTTGATTGTTTTTCTGTTCTGAAATAGACCATAACGATGATATTTTAAGGAAGATATGTTTTATTCATATTGCACGCACAAAATGTTTGTTCCGTAACCGTACATACATCTTTTAATGCAATTTAGAACAAAACATACACATACCTGTTGCATGATATTCTTTTAACTTTATTTACCTTTTTTTCCGTAATTTGTGTGTAAACTTTCGTAAAACAGTTTTACACAGGTAATTTTAAGAATTTTCTCGAATTAATTAGTACGTGCGTTCCATCGCAGTGGTCCTAATTAGGACCCTCGCGTTTTATGCGTTGGTGGCCTATCTACCTCTTGTTTGTATATAATATCATTTTATCATAAAGAATACTGCTTTCTTTTTTTCTTTAAGTGAATGAAGAATATTTTAATCTGGTACAAGTCTCGATAAAAATATGAGTAAAGTTTTGCTTCGACTTATTTTCTTTGACACTTGTTACACGCCCCTGCTCACTCTGAGGATGAGATGAGGCATTAGAGTGTATACCTTCTATATATATATATATATATAAACAGAAGGTGGCCGACGAGCAGACGGGTCACCTGATGGAAGTTTACCGAGGCCGCCCACGAACGTCTACAACTCACGAGTCACAAACGCGTTGCCTGCCTTTTAGGAAGGAGCACGCTCTTTTCTTGAACGTTTGAAGGTCGTGTCCGTCCGGAAATACCGCAGACGATAATCCGTTACACAGATTATTTTTGCATTTTATACCCACATTTGGTACTAACAAACAACTTTTGTATTACTTTTTAATTCATGAATTAGAAGTATTTTGTGTTATTTTCTATTTAGAAAATTATAAAATAATTTCTCATTGGTCAGCAGTGTAATAAAATTAGATAGAAATTAAATCACAGATTTTTGTAATTATCTAAAACCATAAATACTTTTTTCGGCAACGGGCGCGTTTGAAACAAAATGAAAAGATATTTTCACAGTGTTGCCACTTTATCTTATAGATTAGTAACTTAGTTATTAAATTTTATAACCGCAAAATACTCAGTACTCATTGTGAATAAAGTTATCTTAAAATAGATTACGTAGAGACGTACGGACGTACATTAGATTATATTATTAATAGATTAGTAAGTAGATAATATTATGATTACTGTAAGCTTATGAAATGAAATGAAATGGGCTTCTTAACAGATTACACTAATTTGAACGAATGACTTGAGTCGCATCGCATGCATCAAGAGTTCTTTTTTTTAAGACAACTCCTGCACTAGGAATATAATCCTGTGTCGCGGGAGACTTACAAACACACATGAAACTGACACAAACAACACCTACACTCAGAACAACAATTAGTGGATCACACAAAGTGTTTTCCCATGTAGGCATAGAACCCTCAACACTTAGCGCAGTAGAAAGTGGCGAGGTGAACGCTTAAACAACTACGCCATCAACATCTGCAGATGTAGCTGGTAATAGAAATCCTGCGAATCCACATTTGAAAAGTAGAAAAATTGTGAATTCTATTCTCGTAGGTACGTTAACGGCTGTTACACCATGGTGTTTCTTACCAGAGGGGCCCTAGTAGCCAATTAGTGTAAGTTATTTCTTATTTTATGTTTTTTTTTGTACTGTTTAAATGTTTTACTCATATCAACTTCGATGAATACAAAGGGCCGAGTGCAAGTTTATTTCACATTAACTTGCTCACGACAGCGAACGCGTTTGGCGTTGCGATTGGTGAGTATTCCAGTGCGGGCCAATCGTGCGGTTATAGTGACGATCGAATACATGTGAAACAAACTTACTTAGACCTCAGATTTTAAAATAATTTTAATGAAGATGATAAAGTTATTTAAAAAGAATAACATACTTAATAATTATTTTCTATTTGTAAGTGGCTAGTGTATTTGTATACGATAGAGGCTACAGTTATGAAAATGTATAAAGCTTTAGTACCTATACCTATTCAAATAGTAGAGGTCAATAAATAAATGATTTACTATTACCGTATCTGTTTTTTTTTTATTTTACCTAAATTATATTTCAACTTATAACCCCAATGGGGCAAAAAAACATAATCTATCAGTAAACAGTCTACCATACGGATTTTTGGAAAGCAGCTTCGCTCGCCCTACAGAAATCTTTATATGTCTGACTTTAACAAAATTACCATAATACCAGCAGTTATCACAACGAAGATTGAAGATTACGCCCTACGCCCTAGAGGTATTTTTTCAATGCGTATGTTTGACAAAAGTTTTCATGGGTATTATGATAGTACTAAAATGTAAATCAATGTTACCAATTATATTAGGCAGTTGTCCCTCACGTGCATTTAAGGTCTGGACGAGCAAAAAGCCGAAGGTAATAGAAATGACAACTTTATGATCTCAAGTACTGCTAAGTGAGGCTCGGGTCGGGAGTAGAAGTCGGACTCGCGCACGAAGGGTTCCGTACCATTATCTATAAAACGGCAAAAAAAACACTTCTGTTGTTTGGGAGCTCCCTTAAATAATTATTTTATTCTGTTGTTAGTATTTGTTGTTATAGCGTCAACAGAAATACATCTGTGAAAATTTCAACTGTCTTACTATCACAGTTCATAAGATATGAGATACAGCCTGGTGACAGACGAACAGAGGAGTCTTAGTAATAGGGTCTCGTTTTACCCTTTGGGTACAGAACCCTAAAAGGGGTCAGAATAAACTCAAGTTGGCACATCTGATAATATGTGTAGCAAAGCTCTCTTAGACAGGATTTTCTTAGAAGCAATAATAAATGGTCAGGGGAGTTAGTCTTAAGGCGAAGAACACGACAGTGGGTCTTAGGTCGATGTGCAAGATGCTCGGTCGTGCGTATTGCAGCTAGATTGAGTAAGTTATAGAACGTTGAGAACAGCTAGGTGAGTCTTAATTGTTAATTATACGTATTTATACTCCGGTCTGAGTAACGTAACATAAGTTGAGTGATTAAATGCAGTTTCCCTGCTAAATTTATTTAAGCATTTGGTATTGGCATATTAGTTAGGGTACCTTTGAATGTGATAGAATGATTAATGACCCTTTATAGGTCTCTTCAGAGTGGTGAATCGATTTATAGCTGAGGTGAAGCCACCCAGGGTTGACACCCTGGACGCTGTCATTGCCATACGATTTTTCTTCGATGACCCGATAATGGCTTACGGGCACGCGCTGATGCTGCTGATGCTCTGGTGGTAAGACCAGGCCTTGACCATTCAGTTGTAGAAGTGGATTGACGCACTCTAAGCTTAGGTGCACAATGAATAGAAGTCTGATAGGCAAAGCACAACCAATAGCAATGTATTCAATTATATCAAAATCCAAACTTTGATTCCTATTTTATCGGGAGGGTTGTCCAGTCAGGTGTCGGATATTACAGCCTAATAGCTGAAAACTGCTTTACTCAGACTAGGGTCGTTGGGGTATCATCACAAATGGTGCCGTGACCAGGATCCTCGTCATTAAATGTACTGAGCCGTAATTATTACGTCAGTGCAACGAGGATGAACTGAATTTGGTTACTACATACACAACACAACGTAAACAAATTATATTATAGGCCACAACTTAGTTGATATTCCATTTTAATTGTTTATTCCAGGATAAAATACTTATATAAACGATAAATAATATTTTACACATATAAAAAAGTTTACGGTAATTCGTCAGACAGGATTTACTGAATATAAATCCTAAACGCTACTTATAATGTTGCTAAATACAACCTTAAATCCTTCTAAATAAGGTAGCGCGACCCGTATTGTTCTAGAAGTGGATCGACAAGACACCGTAGTGATGTAGTACTTTGGCCATTTATCGAAAAGAAATAGGAGAACAATTTTTAAGTAAATTATTTATTTGACTAATACTCTGATGTCGCACAGATTTATAGGTTCACGGTTAGATTCATGAACCTTTTATTGTAAAATAATACTACTCTTGTATACAAAATATGTTATATATTCAACTAGCTGACCCTGAAAACGTTGTTTTGCTATTTACATTATTTAAATTTTATTTTTATTTTTTTGAATTTCTTAAAATACGTTCTTAGCTGACTTCCTGGTTCCAGAGATATCGTGATGAGTGACTATATACGTGGAAATCTCTTATATATATATATATATATAGATCTAGATAACTATAAAACATAATTGAATACTTTATCTCGTAGTCATACAGCATGCAAGCAAGAATCTGTCTGATTACGACATTTCAAACGATTATTTATTATTACTTTCTTTCTTTCTCTTCTTAAGTTATTTAAAAATTTAGATGACGACGACGATTTAGATGACGATAAAGATCAACTAATTAACAAACCAGTATCGTAGGTTGAAGAGCTGGTATGATTATTTCTAAATTTGATATTTGCATATGTCAATTTGGTCTCCGGTATTCAAAAACCGGCTATACATATATCTGTGCAATTCATAATATAAAGTCCGTGTAGTGACGGAAAAAACAAGGAGTGTCACCACCCCTGTTTCCGTGGGTGTCGTAAGAACTAACTAAGCAAGAGAGCAAACTCTGCAGAACAATAGCACTGCTTAGAGAAGGAAAACTAGAAACAAACCCTATACCAACCCGTTATCTATTTTGACATTATATATATATTGACATTGAATGTTAAAGCTTTAACTAAGTAGTTTTTCTAATATTTCTACATTGTTTTCTTTTAGGTTTGATTTTACAATTTTTATGTTTTCAACCGAGCGTTTAGTAGTTTTTGTTCAATATTTTAAGACCTTGAGGTAAGAACTGCAGATTTAATATGGTCACACTGCTTCCGTGTTTTTCATATAACATCAACAACATCGAAAATTTGTGGATCGTGTCTAACCATTGTATTTTTTACTTTTCCTTGTCTTTTTCTGTAATTCATATGTTAATAATTATAAATTGTGGTTCTGAACGTAAACAAAGATGGGCAAACCATCATCCCAGCAACTTTCTGTTAGTTAAAAATTTTCATTGGTTTCCTGCATCATACATCAAAATTTATTGATTAGATTTATTTTCAATAATACAAGTATGTAAACAATATTATGTTCAACGCATGCAAAGCTTCAGGAGGAAAGGCAATATTGCATAATTTGTCAAACAAGCTTATCTGGTGTTTTAACGTTTGTCTGCTACCGAAAACAAAAAAAAAACAATAATATTTAACCTTGAGATCGAGCATGCTTAAATCTCCTATTTCTTTATTTGCCCATCATTCATTCTCGCCATCCATTCCTAATAAACATAGGTCGAAAAAAGAATTTGTTATTACCTACAAATCAAAAACGATTGTAAGAAAAATATTCAAACTGGTATTAAAATACTTAAAGCTTTTTTTAATGCCTTGTGCGTTTGTTTGTTGTATCCAATACTAACGTAAAAATAAGTTAATTATTTACTAATACATTTATTTTATGTATACCTACTAAACAAAGGACACCAGGACAAATATTGTGATAGGCACAATCATTTGTTCTGTGTCTAGGTGTAATTTATCTATAATATGTATTAAGAAATATTTAAGTATGTTTATTAGCAGTCTGGGTACCATAGTACAGGCTCTGCCTAGTTTGGGATCAGACTGCCTTCACGTATACATTTAATATTATTGTACTTGAATGTTATTAATGTAATAAAATTATGAACATTAAACTTTTAAAATGTAATGTTTTAAATAACATGTTTATGTTTTAGAAGAAATCAAATCATTCTTTGAATTCAAACAATAGCCAGAGGATACTATCAATGAGCACTCAAAAAATGGAAGTGGTCAGGAGAAAGAAACATAAAAAAGCAAAAAATAAAATAAAAAACTTATTTGAGAAACTTAAAAGGAGGAGTGTGAGTTCTTTGAATACATCTCAAGATGTCCCTGTTATATCACTTGACAGGAGTGATTCGAATAATACAATAATTCCTGTTGATACTATTTGTGATTCAACCACCCACAAAAGGAAAATTGACTTAACAAGCGATGAACCTGCTAAACGGAGAAGAAGTGATAATAGCTTAATTATAATCGCTGACGAAGACACAACAACAGATAATGTTCCTTTTAATGTAAGCTCTCCGAATCGAAGTAATACTCACATAACTTGTTCTACACCCATAAGTAGACGGGACAGCAAAACATTACAGAATATGATAATTAACAACTTTACGAAGTCAAATAACAATAATGCATCAGTAAACTTGAATGAAGAAGTTATAAATTTAACCAAAGAAATACACAAAGATTCTTACTTAACTATAGATTTAACTGCAGAATCTGAAGTAAATAAAACAAATAACATAATTATTGATGTAGATAAAAGCCTTAATGATGCCACGCAGACTTCAGATTGTAGTTTTGTGTCCATTTCTAATGCTAGTCTGTCCATGAGCGGAGATTCGGACATTACTATTATTCAAAATAATAGGACTAAGAGAAAGGAAAATGATGTAAAGAAGTTTGCTAAAGGTATTTCTAAGTTAAATTCTACAGAAAAGGGGAAATTACTAGAACTGATAGCAAAGAATATCTTTAATGGCTGTAAAATATCAAAAGATGTGAAAGCAAGCCTTAATAATATGAGAGTGAGTAACTACGTTTCTTATACATAATATATGAATATTAAATTGGTTTGCATATGCTTAAAAAAAGTGCTGCGTTGTTTGAGCTAACATCGTGATATGGTATGCAACTTATTTCAAAGATTGTTTTTGTTTATTTTTCCCTGCAGTTTTGTTCCTCATTTCTCATCAATGCAACCTCAATGTGCCACAGCAGAGTATGGCAGGATACTGCTAGTTTTTATTAAATAATGTAAAAAAAAAAATGGTGGTTATAACAATATTTATAACTATTCCATTTTAATGTACCTGTTATTTTCAAATGGAACCAAAACTTTGAATTTTTATGTAGTTTGAATTAAAATACTGTAGTTCAGCATCCTAGAGCTGATCTGATTATGTAGCCAGTAGGTTGACACTGCAACTCTTCAGTTCCTACTTCCAAAACCGCTTGATTTGTTTGACAAGCCCAACAGATTTGAGCTCAGTAATACCATTAAAGCAGGATTTTGAGTCTTAATGAATTGTATTTATTTTCTTCTGTAGTATTTGTAACCTGACAAACATTTACAGTTTCAGACTCAAGCAACAGAAACAGTACAGGATACATTTATCAAAGAAGTTATTCTCGGAGAATCAAAATCAAGAAACAGTATAGGCAGTAATATTTATCATCCGAGCAAAGATGATAGAAACAAAAAGGGCTTGCGTATGATTGTTATAGATGGAAGCAATGTTGCTATGGAGTAAGTGTAATGATTTGCCATTGGTTTATGCACCTGACTGTGATTAACTAGGATTAGATCGTATGAAAATATGTTATAGTCAATTTGGCTTAAGAAAATAGTGACGCATTGATCAAGGCCCGCATCCTGACCAATCAGAAACCTGATTTCTTGGAACCTGATTGGTTAGGGAAACGGATTTTGTCAATCATAGACACACCTCTTCTAAGCAACATTTTGTCTGTTTGTTCTGTCTATTCAGAGCCGATTCTAGCTCTGAATCTACTGGACTGATTAAATTGAAATTTTCACACACTCCAGCATTATCCATACGCAATATTTTTTTTGTTAAAAGGTAGACCCGTAAAATTCTCCTCTCACTCTTACTTTTAACAGCTTGTGCAGACGAGGGACTTTTGTCCACAGATGACAAAAATCACCGAATCGGGAATAAAATGTCCGCCGATAACATGCCATTGACTTAACGCACACAGTGTGCGATTTTTGTACGTCGCACGTATGTCGACTCGACTAAAGTTCGCTGTCACGTAACTTCTATTTTTAAACGTCCCTCGTCAGCGCAGGTCTTTATTTGATATTGCAAGTAAAACAGTTACATTGTAATAAATTCGAAAAAGCTATTGCGAAAACAGATTATATTAATTAATGCTAAATTATTCGTAAATGCGAATATTCGTAGTTTGGTTTATGTTTTTCAAATGTTAAACCCTACTACAAAACCGTAATAAAAATAAGATGAACATTATATAACTATCTGTAACATTATAACTTCTAAACGGATGGACTGATTTTAAATAAGTTTTTTAATAACTATAATCAAATAAAACAAATTAGTTTAGTCGTTCATAGATCAAGAAATTATATTTTATTTCAGACACACCAAAGGATCTCAATTTTCAGTGCAGGGCCTCAAGATATGTATAGATTACTTCGTGAAACGTGGCCATGTTGTTAAAGCATTTGTGCCTAGGTTTAGGTAAATATAACAATATGGTTATTTATATATTTAGGCCTGCTAACCATTGTTTAATTTTCACATTATAGTCCATCTAATCTAAGAGGTAGGTACTGTTTGACAGTTCTGACAGATTGAAGAATAGGCGGGTATCTTTCGTCTTGAAAAGTATGAAACGTCAAATGAAACCACTTAGATTAGAGTTACTATAGCTGTACCCTGCCCCACTTTGCTGTGGGAGAGTCCTAGTCGTTGCATTGATGTGAAATGAGAAAGAAAACTGACGGGAAAAATGATAAAAACAATCTTCGAAGCGGGTTGTATATATGTCAAAATTTGTGCTCAATCGGTGCAAAACTTTTTTAAATTTTCAAAGAGTACCTGTGTACGCTATGCCATGCTGTGTCAATGTTAAGTTGGTCTGTATCAACTTAACGTTAACACATCATGAAATAGATTTACAAAAAACAAGAATAAAAAACAGATCAAGCCAACATTTTGTGAAGTGAATGAAATCAGTTTAACATGGTCAGTCAGTACCTATTCCAAGCAGCTTAATGAGTTATACTTATATGTTGAAGCAAAGTAGACATCAAGTATGTAACTGCACCTATTTACAATGTTGCACAACCTACCACATAGAGAATGGGCACCCAGGGCAGTTCTCCATGACGGCAGACACAATGGTGACATACTTTTGTGCCTCTAAGTTGGACAAGTCGTGGGAGAGCTATGTTTCGGCAATTCGCGCCGGCCGGCAGAGATCATGGCCTTACAGATAACCGCTGTTGAGCAATTTTCTCGTTGCTCTTCACCTAGTGAGGGAGGTAACCGGCTTCCAATCCTACCCCTCTCCCTAATTCTTGAATTACAAGTGGCTCCTATTCCAAAAAACAGATACTCGAAATTGAAGAATAGCCAACAACTGGCATCAGTAAATTTTTGTAACTAACAGTGCTAAAAGCAAAGATTGCGATTGAGAAAATTTAGTGGTCGTACAATATTTTTCAGATGTAAATATGGCAAGAGTACAGATCCTAGGTTACTGGATCATTTGGAGAGGCAAGGCCTGGTCGTATACACTCCATCGAGGGAAATCCAAGGGAGAATGTGTACACCATATGATGATAGGTAAGTGCTGGTACTTGAATAATACTAGTACAAGCGATGATTTCCTGACTGAGATGAGCTGAGGTCTCAGGACTACAGAAAAAAATGTAAACAATCAAATTTCAATAAAACACGATTTCTTTGTAAATATAATAAAGAAATGTGTTATAGAAATTAGATTGTTTACATTATTTACAGAGTTTAGACTAAACTCGAAGTTTTAAACACTTAGTTAGTTTTTACTTTATTTATTTATACATTTACATCGAACAATAAAAAAAAAAATGTAATTAACAGCGATCTCCGCACTAAGCTCTTTTTATTTATTTTATTCATTCAAGGTGTAAGCAAAATTATAAAAGAAATTGGAAATATATAGCATTTCCTAAGCCTCGAAGGCTTATCATAAATGCTAGGCGTTAGTTTAGAGCGATACAACAAATTCAAAAGTATTCTAGCCTTTTTGTGATAACAAAAATACACACTTACCCATTGAATTGATTAGCTGTGTATTATAAGTTTAATTTGTACCTGTAACATCGGCCTCTGTTCTCATCATTCGCTATAATATCTCACATCTCACAGACGGCCGTCTGATCCCAAACTATGCAGAGCCTGTTACCAGACTGCTGATAAACATACTTATATATTTTTAAATACATACATATTATAGATAAATTAGACCAAGACAGAACAAATGACCGTGCTCATCACACAATATTTGTCCTGGGCGAGAATCGAACTCATGACCTCCGCCTTTGCAGTCAGGGTCACTAACCACTCGACGAACAGGCTCGTCGAAGGCCACTCTGTGGTATGGCAAGGGTTGGTTCCTGTGTTCAACATGAGTGGATACATGGCTACAATAGTCATTCCAACTCCTCGAGACTCTTTGTCTTTATTGAATGGAATTCACAACTCTTGGTTCGGTTTTGTTACCAGGTGACTGTTGTCTGTCCGTGTACTGTAAAAAATCATACAATAATCACATATTATCTTCTATTTAAGGTATATAGTACAATGTGCAGCTGAATTCGACGGCGTCATTGTGTCCGGTGATAACTACAGGGACTTACTTAAAGAGAATCCAAGATGGCGGTTCGTAATCGAAAACCGTCTGCTACCGTTCACATGGGTCAATGACATGATAATGTTTCCCAGAGACCCTCTTGGAAGAAACGGTCCAACACTAGAACAGTTTCTCAGGCATCCTGAGACCTCTTAAAAATAGTGTTCTATGATTAATAAATTCAGAACTTGGAAATTGTATACGCAGATGGCGCTGGTTGTGCGGGAGTCAAATTGGATCGTTGGTTTTCTACATTTAAATGATTAGTCTATTCTAAATTTAATTTGGTAACATTATTTAAAGTCAGTAATCATGTATCAAATGCATTAACACTTTAATAAATTAATACTTTTGTGGACAATGGCGTTTAACGCACTTTGTGTATCGTTAATTTGGAACTTCTGTGTTTTGACAAGAGTACAAATATTATAGAATTAAACTGTATAGAATTCATTCTGAAATTAACTAACCCACATTCATTCTGCAATACTAGTGTATATCGATATTGTTACACGTTTTTTTCTCGTAGTTGATATATTTTGAGTTAAAGTTATTAAGAAATAATTTCGACCTAATTGAAATTTGTGCCCCTAAAACCTTTTTCTACGATCCGTCAAATATTGCCTATCAACAATTTTTAAATTACTTTTAACCAAGTGAGTGAAGTTTTTAGTTGTCGCCTTTCGTCACTATCGGGTAACCCTCATCTTTTCTTAAAAAAGTTATTTTTTGAAAAACTAATTTGGCGTCATAAGTCAATATATATCTAATAAGCTCTAAGATGTCAAACAAAATCTCATAGAAACTAGTTTTGCATAAAAATGCTCAACGGATAGTAGCGAGTTTAAATGTATAAAGGTAATCGCACACTAACACTGAAGAACTTGCTTCTCTTTTAGCTCTAAATTGTAAGGTTATATTATTTCTGGCTTAATTTAAACGGGTATCAAAGTGCTCACGGTCGGCTATACTTGCGATTTATCTATAAAAATGTATATTAATGTTTAATACACATTTTATATACATATGTACTTCTAGAAATAGATACTTCTAGTAAGACAATAAATAAAGGATAGGCAACAAAGGAGACGCCAAATGGTTACAGCTGATGATATGAATAATGGTATACATATACAACCTGTGCTATAGCTAATCACAAAAAATAAAGTAACAGATAACATGGTTCAATATACGTCAGTTAAAATTAAATGGATGTTTATACCGATAACCCAATACAATTAAAAGACTGATAATGCACTACTACACATACCTACTGTAAAACAAACTAATAATGACACTTTTCAAAATAAAATTAGCGGGACTCGTTACAACACGAAGCCTTGCGCACCCGATAACATCATTGTTTATACCATTGCCGTGTATTATAACGAACGCAATAAGACCAAACAATTATTAACACATGAATTAAAACTTTTCAAGACAAATATCTCACGGACAACAATATTATTATGAGGATAATTCGTCGTGAGCGCATCTACAAGGACACAGAACAGCATAACACTCAGTGAATCGCGGTGGCTAAGGGTTTACTGACTGTACTTACTGGATGAACTAATTTAACGCGTGTCCTTCATCCTGATGACGCAATAATCAACATATTTTATTCGATTCGAGTGTAGTAAAAGCGGCAATGGCAAACGTGTGATGTTACCGCGCCGCGTATACAGCGTATGCAGCTATTTAAATTATGAAAACAAAACAAATGTCCTGTTTCTAAACCACTGAATATTTTTTGTTCATATTTTGTAAATCGTCTAAAAATAAAGCGCAGAGTATATTTTATAAAGGTTTGTGATAGCTTACAGAACTCTCAGTATAATAACAGGCGACTATATCAAAATCGACTATTAGGTCTACGAATCATGTAATTCACTTTACATCAATATTGCCTTGTTTATTCGCTCATTTTTTGCCTTTCTAAATCATAAAATAAATGCTAAGAAGCTATATATACAATAAATGTTTTGTTCTAATGGCCTTCATGAGGAGTGCCAACAGGAATTTTTCTAACTTATACCGGCTTTCTGCTAGCGCTAGCAAAACATGCATCATGGATATTTGACATTCCACGACTGTGCGCTTCTCATTAAAATTTATGCCTCGTACAACACTTGAATAAATTGTTGCTGTATTTCTGAAACGATGCAACTTTTAAGTCTGGAAAAAAGAGCGTACCCCCACCTCACAGGCCGGGCAATACGCTTCTGACTTTTTCTAGTCATATACCTACTAACAGACACTATTTTGTAACAACAATAGAACTTAACTTTGTTTTACTAATATACGAACAATATATTATTATTTTGAAAGCATATCATATTGTTTACTATCTAACCGTTATAGTGTGCGCTTACCTTTAATACCTTACGACGGGCAGAAAAAAAATGTTAAATAAAACAGTACATATGAAAAAGTTCATTTTGTACAATAAATTTATATGAACGGTGTTACGGAAGTAAGTATCTATTTAATCACGTTTAGATATTGTTTTTTATAAAATTATATTGATATACGTCTTGCGTTCAAAAAAATATTGACTGAATAGGTGTAAAGTGCATATTGTACAAGTATATTCGTAGTATATGTAGATTAGTTTTAAAAGTTTTTAAAATCTACTTGAGTTTTAATTTAATATTCGTTTTATACTTAGAATTTTAAGATTGTTTTATGTCACTGAAAAATAATGTTTAAATTGTATTTTTGCTTCCAAAAAACAGAGATTACTCCTCTGTTTTATTTGTTAGTGATATCTTTTAGTAGTTACCTAATTTATATGTTCATGTGTTCTTCTAATTACAGTTTATTCGTAAACGCTATGAGGATGAATAATAAGAAATGCAATACGTCGATTAAAGAAACGAAACTTAAAGAAAGAATAAAAACCTGTTAGAAAGACATGGATACCTCTTTAGTTATTTTTCAATTGTAATTTATCCCCGAAATATGCGAATCACACATTTAATGATCGTGAAACGGAATTTATAAGAAAGTTGTTTTTTAGTGTGGCGCAATGTGAGGACTCGTATTACCAATATTCTGTCGCTATTTGAACAATTTTAAAATGTGTTGTTTCGAAAGAAAAATATCACCTTCATTATGAAGTGCTGTATACAAGAAACCGAGCTCAGAGGGAGTATTTACATGGAATAATATAAGCCATTGTGTATGTTTGTAAAAATCCACTATGTTCACTACAAAATGAGCCCTGTCCCTTAAACTAGGTAATACCTGGTACTTTAGCAACAGAGTTCGGTCGATCTAAGTTCCTTACGGATAGTTATAATTGTTGCGATATTATGGTAAATACTTATAAATGAGTTACTATTCATATTACGAGATTCGCAACATCAAGAGACTGCCTTCTGATACTAAGTTAGATTCTTGTATCAAATAGTTAAAAATTGTAAAATTATCATAGATACTTTGAAATGTGTTTAGCATTAAGGTACCTATAATATAGTAGACAAGTAACCGCCTACTAATAAATTCGATTACTCGTAATTGATAAAATGGTTACCATAACTTTTGATTGTGAATTTGAGTTTTAAGTTTTTAATTACTTAATGATATTGTGTAATACATACCCAAGAACATTTTGAGAGCATGAATAAAATTTTAGAATTAGGTTTCATCTCATCTGAGAAAAATATTTTGGATTTTCTTTTTTTGAAATTATTTGTTAATAAATGTTGATTTTAACTTTGTTTATTTATTTCGTGGCAAGTGCCCTTCTAAGACAATAAACCCTACTTTTATTAAACAGCATTTCTTAGTTTGTTCACTGCTCCGTACCCTTCACTAAAAGCATGATGTTATCTACACTATAATAATATTTCGGACATTTGACACACCACGCCACCTAGTTTCAAACTAAGCAGAGCTTGTACTATAAAAGCTAGATTGACTGATAGAATACCTACTTATATACTTTTTTGTAAATACATACATAAACGAATATTTGCTGATAATATACAAACATTTGGTCCGACCCGGGAATCGAACCCGAGGCCTCAGCACAGCAGTCGCATACGCTACCACTTCACCACCGAGGCAATTCATCATCATCATCATCAGCCTATCGCAGTCCACTGCTGGACATAGGCTCTCTCCTCTCCGAGGCAATTATACTATACCAATTTAAGATGTCGGAGTTCGCCTTTTCATCCAAATACAAATTGGAAAGAGTTGTGTAGAAATGATCCAATCCATAAATGGCCGAAAGTATTGATGATAGTCCGTTTTTAACCGACTTCTAAAAAACGAGGTTCTCAGTAGACTATGTTTGTTTTTCGTGTTTCATCTCTTTACTCAAGCCATACAGGTACATTTGCGTTTGGTAGTCATTATCTCAGGTTGCTGAGGTGATAATGGAAGGAAGGGCCCTTGAGTTTCAGGAGTTAGGGGATAATTCTTTTAAGAACAACTTATTGACCTTTAGGTATATTCTTGTATGTGGTATGAGATCATATTTTGGGGTAACTTTACTGAAATAGAGCAAGTATTTATAGCTCAGAAGAGGTGTGTCAGGGCAATGTGCAACCTCCAACAAATTGACATCTAAACCGTATTTCTAGAGACTCAACATACTAACCGTACCCTGTCTGTATGTCTATGAGTTGTTATTATTTGTCAACATGTTTGATAGGTATAAAAGTAAGCGTCACAATTTCAAAACATGGTGTCCTCAGCATAAAAGTGCTTTGATGGATCGAGTGTGTGCTTACAAATCAATGCATTGAGAGTCAATGCATTGATTTGTAAGACGTAGTCATTCAATTCCTGATTGGGCTTTTTCCCAATTAACAGGATATTGGATATTATTTACTTTCGCTATTTGATAAGCAATATGGCGCACGTTCGTTCTTTCTAAGGAGAGGCCTATGTCCAGCAGTGGACTAGTATAGGCTGTTGATGAGATGGCGCACGTCCTTAATCTTCTTTGATTCTTCTTCTTCCTAATAATAATCTTCTTTAAGCGCTTTTTCATTCTATAGTAAACGTTTTATTAACTTTGTACTCGTAGTTGGGAGTAAATCTCTGACCTTTAAAAGATGCATAATCCATATTCTTATATTTTTTATAAACCGAAACAGCGTAGTAAAACATAGGACTACTACATAGCACTCTTCTGCAGC